CAACACTTTTTTTATTTTATTTTTTAAAACAATATTTTTATATAATATATAAGGTAAAGGTGCATCCATTTAATAATTAGATCTAGATATTAACTTATTAAGAAAATAGAAAGATATGTCTTATGAAGAAGTCTTTATATTCTTTTGATAACAATCGTGATTCGAAACTCGATTTTATGATTAAAGGAGTTTGAGTTTTATGATTTATGGTTTTAACTTTATGTGTTTTTAGGATTTAGAGTATGTTAGTTTTAAATTTTATTTACATATAAATTAAATAAATATTAAAATATTAAATGAATGTCTTATATGAAGATATATATAAATTTATTTAATTTAAATAAAATTTGTGTTAAGAAATATTAAATATGAATGAATTATTTAAATATTACAATTTATGGTTGAGAGATGTTAATATAATTAGTACTATTCTAAAGCAGTGGTGAGAAATTGAGATGCCAAGTAGCCGATAACAAATTATTATTATTTTCAAAGTTAATTTAACATTTCATTTTCAAAAATCATTCAAGTAATAATTAATCTTTTGAAATGTGATATGAATCGGTAGTAACTTAATGTTCCATGGTTTTATCCATACCTTCTTATCTTCTCCAACACTTTTATTACGGAGGTGATGCCATATTATCATCATTCCCACGTGTTTTCACAATTAAAAGAAATATCCAATATTTATATACAGTTTTCCATTGACTTGATTACAATAGCTTGTCGATCTTATTATGCACTCACAAGAAAATAAAAGAATTAAATTCGAATGGAGTAAATATGAAGAATATTAATATAATGTTTTAGAAAATTTATAATAAAAATTGCTTCTTTCCATGATATTCACAAACTATTATAGTTAAATCTTGGCAAAAGAGTCATTGTTGTCTCCGTAGTAGACCCAATTTATCATTTCCGTCCCTATCGTATTTTCGCATCAATTTAGTCTTCAAAGTTATTCAATTGCATCATCTTACACCATAACCCTAAATCTTAATCCCATAACCTTTAAACCCTAAACAATAGCAAATATTTTAATCATTGACGTAATTGAGTAACTTCAAAGATTAAATTAATATGAAAATATGATAGAGACAAAAATAATAAATTAGGTTTTACGCAAAAACAAAAATTACCCTTCTACCTTAATTTTTCTCTCAATAAACTGTACAAATTGATTTACGACTGGAATATCAACTTCCCATTTATAACATTATAATCAAGCGTATGACAAGACAAGCTTTCCACTTTAAGCACCGCCCCACTTAATTAATTAGGATGATAAGTAAATCAACAGTTTGCTATATTCATTATCCCGGTAATAATTATATGTTCAAAGCTAACAAAGTTGAAATCCAACTAATTAAGCCTACCCCACATCATGATACATCCATCTATCTATATATCATCTTCACTCACAAGTTTAGACTAAGTTCAGTTCTTCAGAAAAATAATAAAAAAATCATTGTTCTAATTTGATTTGCAATAAAACAATGTAATATAATCATCCATTTATTGAATTTTACACAGATTGGGCTTCAATTGGAGCCGTCCCATTATAACAAAAATATAATTTTGGGGCATCTTTGCTGTCTTTGTGGGTTAGTGATAGACAAATGCCAGTGCCTATTATTACTGAACCTCTTTTGACATCCGCATTAAAGATGTACGTGTGGTTTTATATTAAAATATCAAATTTATAATATGTTAAGGAGTTAAAATATATCTAAAAATATATAAAATTTTAAAATTTTTAGACGGAGGACAGTTCTTACCTATTACTTTAATCTATCCCTGTCCAATACTTTAGGCGAATTAAGAGCTTTTGAGCCAAATACATCTGTCAAAAATGAATAATTACTAGTCCGGCAACCTAATCATAACAGAAGTTGAACGTTCATTAGTGATATTGTCATAAGTTTGCGATCATGTCGTAATGACACTGCAAGCTGCAACACCTTGGAAAAGGGCTTGAAGCCTTGAACCTTTCTGAAACGAGAAGGAACCAAGATCAGCGTAGTCCTTATTTTTCTGATTTAGTCAAAAAATTAACGTCAGAGATTAGAGGACAGTTTATCCATATTGAGTTCTTTTGTTTCCGCAAGGAGGGGAAGAAGAAAAAATAGAATGGAGGTGATGGTTCGAATTCTTTTCTCAATTTTAGTTGAGAGGATTCATAGTGAACTTTCGTGATAGTGTTATTATTTACAGGTTGATATGTCCTATAGATACAATTAAATGAAACTATATTTTAACTCTAAAAGATCATGTGAACTTGTCAGAGATGATATAAAATGATCGAAAGTTTTACTATCGAGGGGTTATGCGAAGACTAATCTTTTGGAGAAGATACGTACAATAGTCTGTCACTAGTAGAAATGATAGTGAGTCATATATTTATAATTTTTCAATTATCAAAACTTTTATCTATTTTTTATCCAGAAATGATCTTAATATTACTCTTTGAATTTGAATTAAATATTAATTATACGTGAAAACATCTGAATTCAAAATTTAAAATCATATATCAAATATCAAATATGTTAAAAGTTAGATGATCGATGTTAAAATACCCTTAAAAGTAAACTTATTCTCTATTTATTAGTATGTAGTTAAATTTATTTATTAAAATCCACAATCTACCTCCGTATAAGTAGTATATAATGAATATTCGAAAATATCTATATAAATAATTAATAAGTAATAATTTTAACATTTAAGTTCATAAAAAAGGAATCAAATATACACAAATATCAAAATCCACCCTCCAAATTATCATCTTTAGTGTTTATATTGCCATTCAAAACAATCCAAACGAGGAGCACGAACGCCCATAACCTCGTGCTCTTAAGATCATGCTCTTACTCATGAAGTAAACTTTCGATCTCGCCAGTTGATGCTAAGATAAAATTGAGCTCTAATGCCATGTTTATTACAAGAACAAGAATTCAAATACAAACAGAAATATAAAAAATACAGACACTAAAAATATCACAAGCCAATAGTACACAACAATATATCAGAAAAACCAGTTACCAATAAGTCGTGAACAACTAGCTAGTTGCTTCTTCGTCGACGTCTACCACCGTGTGTCGACCGTTTCAGCTTTCGGGGTTGAAGTCATTCGACCAACATCACCAGCCATTGAGGTTTCCCAGTTGAAAACAGCACATACCCCATAATCAGTCCAAAAATAACTCCACGTCCATACCCTAACCCTACAACTTTCCCCCAGAATTCCGACTATATGATACTGTTTTGTTGAGTTCTCTTACTATTAAAAGTTATAAAATGATCCTCTGACTATAGGGTTTTATTTTATTGAGTCTCTTAATTATTAAAAGTTACAAAATGGTCAACTTCCTATTTATTATGTCCCAAACTCGTTCATTAATAATTGAGTCTCCCAGTGTGTCTAAGCGTCATGTATTATCCATAATTCTACAAATATCAGCGAACATATATCAATACTCCTTGAGGACCTAAAAAGTCGTGAACCTTGCTCATTCTGAATCACTCAACTTTTCTTTGGTTGTTCTTTCTCTGTTAGTATTTATAGGAGTATTTTGGACTTGTGTAGTCTGCAGCGACCAAATTTTGATTGGAAGCAGGAGGTGACTTGAGCGTGTAAGTTTGTTCGAGGTAAATCGCTTCTTACCCTTGTTTTGAGGATTGCTCTGAGTTCTTTTATATACTCCGTTTGGGAGGCGAGGAATTATAGAATGTTTAAAGTAGTACAAGGGGTGATATTATTCTTGGGGTATCTAAGATACCATGCACAATAGAATTGTAGGTAAATGTATAGATAGGGCTGATACGGTTAACGAGAGATTATGTATAGATTGGGGTATTATTGGTTGAGTTGGAATTATTTTGTATGTTGTATCATTTTACTGTTTTCTTTGGAGATATAAAATAAAATTTATCCAAAAAAAATTATACAAATATATTTGTTAGAACATGATTATAATATAATAAAATTTACAAATACAATATGAATACGTTAATTATTTAATTTAAACTAATTATAGAGAGATATCATAGAGCCCGTATATAGATAAAAGAAAACAGTGATTGAGTGGCAAATCAAAAAATCTTACCTATCACTCACAAAATTCCCTACATGGAAATGGATGATTCCATTTGCCTGTGCTCTATGCCTCTGAGTGTTGAATTGCACATGATTTTACAATTATTTGTTTCTTTATTCTTATTTTTTTTTTCTAAAAAGAAAACCCATTTTAAAAATATATTGTTATGTTGTGCTATTCCCAACAATTATCCTCCACAATTGATCCCATTCCTACACGTGTCCGACAGTAAAATCATTGGGAATCACATCTACGTTTTGGAATTTGGGTCCACTCCCATGGTAAATACAAAATGTTAGAAACTGATTATTTTTATATATCTTGGTAATAATTTTTTATTTAATTAGTAAAATTGAATGATTAATATATTTTAACTTTTTAAATAATTTTTTTCTTGTTGAAACAGAAAATTATCAATATAACTGTTTTTCATTAGCGTAATTATTATTATTAATTATAAAATTATAAGCATCGAGAATTTGATTTTACGGAAAAATATTTTCATTTAAAAAACCAACAAGTGTCATGAGATTAAAATATTTAAATTATTATTTTTAATACATGAAATCATTTGAAATAAATATAAGTTATTTTTTTTATAAAACTATCATTATACAATTTATTAATAATTTAAAAACAATTAAAAAAATGAATTTCCCATACTTTAATTTAAAATTACTTAACTAGAAATAAAATAAAATAAAAAAGCAAAGCAAGTACATTAAACACCCAATTCCACAAATCCAACGGTGGATGACAAAATCACAGTAATATCGTCACCAGTCCCTATAAACAGTACAGGGAGTGGGCCCTATAGATGTCCAATTGACAGCGAATTGGCATGTGCCACGTGTATAAAGTTGTAAAAGTACAGTGCTTTGGGTCTGAAAAGAGCAGACAAATTTTTTTTTCCTCCAAAATCTTAAAAACTGGAAAAAAGAAAATAACGTGAATGCAAAAGAAAGTAACAGAGAGAAAATGTTGTCTTTAGACTTACCATCTGAGGAATCAAAGAATCTTTTTTCAAGGAAAGTAAAACAAAAACCCAAGTTTTGAAGAGAGAAGAAAGGAAAAAAAAACTGTTTATTGGGTGTTTTTTTGCTTTGGGATTTAGATTTGGTCTTCTACTTGCATGAAAGAGAGGTAAGAAAGATTCAAGCTTTACTCAACTCTGCCCATGGTTTCATTGAGTTGTACTTGCTTTACTGCTTATTTTAGCTTTTTGGGGTTTTGAATCTGAGATTGCTGAAATTCTGTGTTTCAATGAACTTGCTGTTTTGAAGAAAAAAAGTTGGTTTTTTTAGCAGAAGAATTATTTGTTAAGCTGTACTTATTCTACTAGCTTTGTCCTAGAAAATGCTGGATTTGCTTTGCGTTATTTTCCCCCATTTTGGGTATAAAAGTAGATAAGGACCTGCAAATAGAACCAGTTCCTAGAAATTGGTTAGTTTTGGTAATGCTAATTGGTCTTTTTCAAATGGGAAATATTTGAGTGACATTCTCTTGGATTTGTTCGTTTAAGTAATATTTACTCTTACGTGCCTGATTCAAGTAACTCTAGCTAAAATGCTGGTGCTTTGAATACAAGTATTTTGTTTTTCAATGACTTAGCTTGTTGTGCTTGAAACTATCGTTCTAATATTTGGTGCATTGTGGAAGTGAGATGCTTTATTTAGCTGTTTTTGTGAGCGGAAAACGGTTTCGGTCGATCCTAGTCCTTACAAGCTAGTAAAAAGATGGTTTCCCCTTCTTCCATGTTGCTCCATTTCCTTCGATTTTGTTGCTCTCTGTGGAAGCAAAGTATAGAGATTTGATCAGTTCATGTCATTTGTCTAGTGGAACTGCTTTTGTCATAATGAATCCTCCGTAAAAATCAGATATGATTGAGCTTTTTCCGAACTCAACCTAATTTAAGGTGTTTTGATTCTTCATTATATTAACAGATTGTCCTACAGTCAAAACAGTAGATATATAAGTTTAGAAATAAATAGAGAAATGAAACTATAAAGGAGAGAGATGGGAATGACTTATCTTCGTATATTTGTAGACTCAAACCAGCAAACTAAAGTTGACTGAAGCTTGCTTTAGTTGCTACATTTAGTACCTGGTAGTGGTGGAACAACTTTTCTGGACTTGTTAAATAGAAACCATTTTCCCATCGTCAAGTTGGGGTAAAGCTCCTCTGTGGCATAGAAGAGAAATCTGATTGTAATGGTTGTGCATCTTCATGTTTATTGGTAGCTAAAACTAGAAATCTTGTCACTTTTTTGCCTTTTTTTTATCTGAATGATGTATATATATTTTATCTGAATGATGTATATATATTTGGTTGCTTTAAGTTTTATCGTCTTTGATTTGGTAGGTATATGTATGAAGCGAGCAAAGTTTTGCCCCGACTTAAGTCATCCTTTAACAACCAAATTGTAGAAATCAGAGTATTTATCTGTATTTTCATATTATTTTCAATAGGAAGATTACATCTTTATATACAAATTATCTCTCTAAAGTAGGAAACACTTAAGAAAGGAAAAATACTAATCCTAGGATGTGATCCCTTAAAATAAGGGATTGTATAAATATATGTACAAAATCCCTTAACTAAAGGAATGATATCAAATCATAACAAATCTTATCTCTATAATTCCTACACTTCCCCTCAAGCTGAAGAATATACATTGTATAATCCCAGCTTGAATAGGAATTTATTGAAAACAGGCTTTGGCAAAGCCTTAGTAAGAATGTCTGCAACTTGTTCTTATGAAGGAATGTATGAAAGTGTGATTGTCTTTTTGTTAACTTGATCAGCTATAAAATGCCTATCAATCTCAACATGCTTTGTCCGATCATGTTGAACTGGGTTCTTGGCAATTTGAATAGCAGATTGATTATCACACAAGACTTCAAAGTGATCCTCTTGATTAGTGCCAAGTTCTTTCAGTAGTTTAAGTAGCCAAATTCCTTCGCATATTCCCAATGCTAGTGCACTGAATTCAGCTTCAGCACTACTTGAAACGACAAATTGTTTCTTACTTCTCCAAGTTGGAAGGTTACCCCAAACAAATGTGCAGTAGCTACTAGTGGATCTCCTTTCAGTAAGGTCTCCGGCCCAACTAGAGTCTGTAAAAATCTTATCAGTTCTGTCTTGTGCCTTTTTAAACATTAAGCCGTGTCCTGGAGTTTTCTTCAAGTACTTGAGAATTCTATTTACTGCTGCCATATGCTCTTCAGTAGGATTAGTCATGTGTTGACTTATCACATTTACGGGAAATGTTATATCTGGCCTTGTCAAGGATAAATAAATTAGTTTCCCAACTAATCTTTGAAATTTCTCTTTGTCTACTAAGGACCCATCTTCTTTGCTAAATTTCAAGCTTGCCTCTATTGGTGTATCAATCGGCTTACAACCAAGAAAATCAGTTTCTTTGAATAAATCAAGTACATGTTTTCTTTGGTTGATTACAAGTCCTTTTGACCTTGCCACCTCTATTCCTAGGAAATACCTTAGCTTTCCCAAGTCTTTGGCTTCGAATTCCTCATTTAACAACTTCTTCAAATTGCAAATCTCTTCTTCATCATCTCCGATAAGAACCACGTACACAATAAGGATAGCTTTCTTATTTGTAGAAGTTACCTTAATGAAAAGAGTATGATCGGCGAGAGACTGCTTGTAGCCGTTTTTCATAATGACTTTAGTGAACCTTTCGAACCAAGCTCTAGGTGATTGTTTTAATCCGTATAGAGACTTGTTGAGCTTGCACACCTTGTTACTTCCTTCAACAGACTTTAAGTCAGGTGGCAACTTCATATAGACTTATTCTTCTAGCTTGCCATTAATATAAGCATTTTTTACATCAAGTTGGTGTAATTTCCAATCGCAATTTATAACCAAACTCAGGAGTACTCGAACAGTATTCAGCTTCGCCACAGGTGCGAAAGTTTATGTGAAATCTATCCCATATGTTTGCGTAAAGCCTCTGGCCACTAGTCTAGCTTTGTATCGTTGAATACTACCATTGGAGTTATACTTTACAGCAAAGATCCATTTACAGCCAACATCCTTTTTTCCTTGAGGAAGGTCCGTAACGGTCCAAGTAGCATTTTTCTCTAGTGCACAATTTTCCTCTTCAACAGCCTTTCTCCATTTTGAATCCTTTAGAGCTTCAGCTATGCTTGTGGGAACCTGTTTTTTTTATCAAAGTTTGCTGTAAATGCTTGAAAAGACGGCATCAATGAATTATAACCAGCAAATTTTTCAATAGGATGTTTGGTGCACTGTCTAACCCCTTTTTTAATAGCAATAGGGAAGTCATCTAGAGTAGGGGAAGTGGACTTACTGATTTCTTCTTCTATTTTGGCAGCTGAACCCAAATTCAATTCTCGGCAAGCATCAGATTGCAAAACAACCTCAGGAATATGTTTTCTTTTCCTTGTATAGACACGAAGTTGTTTGATTGGTGATGTTTGTGGAAGATTTTGAATTGGAGTACGTGTGTTTTCAGGAAAGGTGTTTAAAGTAGGTGTGGGTGAAGTAGTGATAGGTACTACAGATGAATCAATGGGAGTAGTCACAGGTGACAAATCTGTAGGTAAAGACAAAATTGGTGGCAATTCTGAAGGTTGAGAATGAAGAGTAGGAGGAGATACTTGATGTGGCTGAAAATCCTTCCATGTCTCCCCCTGAATTTCAGCCTGAGTGAATTAGGGATCTTGCTCATAAAATGTTATATCCATAGTGGTAAAAAATCGTTTAGAAGGAGGATGATAGCATTTATAACCCTTCTTAAGTGAAGAATACCCAACCAGTACACACTTTAATGATTTAGGATCTAACTTGGACTTATTAGGAGTAATGTTTTGGATAAAAACAGTACAACCAAATATTTTAAGTGGAAGAATGGAGGAAATAGGCTTAAAATGGGGAAAGTATTGCAAAAATATAGATTGAGGTGTTTGAAATTGTAAAACCTTACTAGGCATTCGATTGATTAAATATGTGGCAGTTAATAAGGCTTCCCCCACAAATATTTTGGAACATTAGTGGTAAATAGAAGAGAACGAGTAACTTCAAGGAGGTGTCTATTTTTTCTTTCGACAATGCCGTTTTGTTGTGGGGTGTCAACACAAGAACTAATCTGAACTATGCCATTTTCCTTGAAAAACGCACTCAAAGACTTAGCAAAAAATTCACTGCCATTATCAGATTTAAAGAGCTGAATTTTAGACCCAAATTGAGTGAGAACCATGTTATAAAATTGGGTAAAAACACCAGCAGTTTCAGATTTATCTTTTAGCAAATAAGTTCAAGTTATCCTACTGTGATCATCAATGAAAGTGATAAACCACTTACAATTATCATCATTCTTCACCCGAGAAGGGCCCCAAATATCACTGTGGATCAAAGCAAAAGGGTGAGAAGGCTTATATGTAGAAGGAGAATAAGTTGATTTAATATGTTTGGCAAGAGAGCAAACTTTGCAAGAAAAAGAATTTGACCTTTTATGAATGAATAAAGCAGGAAAAACTTTTGCAAGATAGTGGAAACTAGGATGGCCTAAACGATAGTGCCATAGCATAACATTATCAATTTTTTCTAAAGCGGTGAAAGATTTCGAGATTTCGGTTTTAGTAGAGGCAAGAAGAATATAGAGACCATTATGCAAACTGGCCTTACCAATCATCTTCTTCGAGTTCAGTGCCTGCAAGTACAATCAATATCATTAAAAATTGCAGAGCAGTGCAAGTCGGTGGAAAGTTTACTAACGAAATCGAGATTGCAAGCCAGATTTGGTGCAAAGAGGACATTTTTAAGTACAATCTGGTCATTGAGAATAACAGTGCCATGTCCTATTTTGCACAAGGAACCATCAACCGTTTTGACAGCTTTACCAAAGTTTGGAAAAAAATTGCAAAACAAATCCTCATTACCAGTCATATGATTCGTAGCACCAGAATCGATGATCCAATTAGGGGTCGACTGGGAGGAGAAAAAAACTGTAGCATGAGGTTTACCTTCTGGTTCTTTCATGACCAGATTACCTTCTGATTGAGCAGCAGAACCAGAAAAATTTTCTGGATTCGAAGTGATCTCAGGAGTAGGAGAAGAAGTTGTGGACATCGTCTAGGCTGGAAAGAAACCGTAACCTAATCTGATACCATGTAGAAATCAGAATAATTCTCTGTATTTTCATATTATTTTCAATAGGACAGATTGTATCTTTATATACAAATTATATCTCTAAAGTAGGAAACACTTAAGAAAGGAAAAATACTAATCCTAGGATGTGATCCCTTAAAATAAGGGATTGTATAAATATATGTACAAAATCCCTTAACTAAAGGAATGATATCAAATCATAACTCTATATTTCCTACACAAATCTTTGACCCTAATCCCCTCTTTCCCAGTAATATATCTGGGTTTGATTGTGTTGTCAACAGGAGGATTCCAATGCCGACTGGGAATTATATTCCATGTTTCCCATCTCCATGTTTTTGTAGGATGAGTGCCTAGACTGAAATTGCATTGCTGATATGGTATCTAAGTTTATCCATAGACTTGATTTATTTTTTTCACTGCAACCCATATGAATGGTAGCATCTCCTTCATCTTGAAATAACTTGTGAAGGTTTGGCTGCACTATTTCTTGAATGTATGCAAAGTCGGGAAACAAATAATCCACTTTTGTGTTTTGATGCAACTTCTTGATGCAAATATACAAAGTAGAATGCCAAGCAACTCTCTTTATACTTGCGTGTATGTATGATAGTGCGGTTCTTTATGTAGCAATCTTATGTGTGACCTAACCTAATGAGTCAAAGAAATCTTGACAGTGTTAAGGGGAAGAGAATGATTTTCAATTCGTCATTTGTTACTGGTGTGGAAGTTGATTTCAATGGGCGTATGTAGCTTTTGAAGAATATATTCTGGATGGCAAATCTGAGATCAAATTGGTCATGAGAATGCTTGTTGGAACATGCTTGAGCCAAGAGAAGCTGATATACCCGCATTGTTTCTGGTCTTGGTGGTGCTTCCTCTGGTTGCTTATTTCTTGCTTGGGAAATGGAGTGAGGTTTCAAAGAAACGAGATAAGATTAGCGTACTTGCGTATCTTGCCGCTGAAGAAGCTCTTATAGCAGAAAGAATGGCTGCTGCCAGTGTTATTCCAGTTGCTCCTATTTCGAAGAAGGGATTGCATGTGTGTGCTAGGTGTTTTGGTCCAGCTACAACTCGCTGCTCGAGATGCAAGGCAGTCAGATATTGGTATATTCTATCCCTTAGCATCTGCAATGCATCTTTTATTGCTATACTTCATTGTTGTTGAATGATTTTATTGTTCGTGAAAGTAAAGTAAAATATTGAATCAAATGCTTGATAGCAGTATTCTCTTGTCTAGTATCACTCCGCAAACATAGATATGCCTCCCCTATATGGTTGCCTTTTTTAAATGAATTTTGGATTCATTTATATCCTGAAGTAAAGTCTTTATGTTCTTGGGAACTTTTTGTAAACTCTAGCAATGGGCTGATAAATTTATTATTGATTTTGGCTGTTGAAAATTTTCCTGAATTTTATTTTATTCTGCATGATATTTCTTACTTTAAAACTGTTGAATTTATGCAGTTCTGGGAAGTGCCAGATTATTCATTGGAGGCAAGTTCATAAGGAAGAATGCCTGCAGTTGGAGAGTGAAAGCTCAAGCTCAAGCTCATTTCCTAGTGTTGCCTCATTTGAAGAATCTGCGCTACTCAGTGACAACATGAATTCACAGTTCTCTGAGTACATTAATAAGCAGTTTGCCAAGGAAAATGCAGATAACATAAATCATTGTCCCATAACCACTGGTTTATTTGATAACGGGGATTGTTCTACTACCTACACCTCTCAAGTCTGTGCACCAGAGAAACGTACAGACAAAAGAATTTCTCGTCATTCCAATGGAGAAATACTAAGAAGAGAGGATGCAGATGTATTTGATTCTTGTGATGAGACCTCGAGGACTAGAGCAACTAGTTCGACACCAAATAATATTTCTTCAAAAGAAGCTCATAGAAGGCATAAGGTTCTTATCTTAACATTCTTTTTGGTAGAAGGTGTTAACTTTTATTTAATCACATGGTTTCTGATAATTGCATCAAACTATTGCTGCAGTCGAGAACTAGTGGCTTTGTTGTATCCGAAGATGGAATCTTAAAACAGCAAAATGCCAATGGCTCTAACATGCATATTCATGGACAAAATGCAAGTACTGACATGCAAGAGAGCCATAAACATCAAAGCCAACAAGGCAATATTCCCGAATCCAGAAGCAGTTATGAAATTTCTGGCCCACCATATTCTGTAAAAGGTGGGACAAGCGCACATGAAGCTGAAAATGCCTTTGTCTGGAGTTCAGAGAATATAGTCAACGGGGAAAATGCTTTCAGTGGTAAATCAGTAGAATTAGATTGTTCTGGGGTTGCATTAGCAAAAGAATGCACGAAAGTTAGAAGTTCATTGCAGTCTGTAGGACCCAAAATATCTAAGTCACCTAAATCAACAGTGAAAGTGTCTGGGGAACGATTGCACCATGAAATGGAGAGAAAAGGACAAATTCCTGATCAATTAAGTAGGTTTTCAATATTTCTTTCTTAATATTTTAGCCATGCTATTTTTTTGTACAATTTTCATGCAGAAGTTCTGGAATGACAGGTAACATTCTGGCACCAGGAATCAATGGAGCTGCCAGCATAGGAGTTATGGGGATGATGAGTTTACGGAAGTCATCTAAGCTTGCCAGGCAGGATTTTGCTGCATGCTATGGTGATAGACATAAGAAGATAAAGGTCAGTTCCTTTACATTTATCTATGATTATTATCTGTTCCACTCTTCTGTTGTTGAGTTAAATTATTTCACGGGGCTCTTGAATTGTGAATGAAAAACTCTTGACCATGATCTATTATCCTATTGTCTCAGATGCTGTTTCCTTACGAAGAATTTGTAAATTTCTTCCAGTGTGAAGTCTTCGACTTATCGCCAAGGGGCCTTCTAAATTGTGGAAACAGGTCACTTTTGTTACTTTTATTGTCCTACCTTCCACTATATTTGGAGTATGGTAGTAGTATATGTTCCTACTTCCTACATCAGACCGATCTGTAATAAAAAAGCAGTGTGTTAAACATCAGATCTGAACAATTTAAACATACTGCCTTTTTGGATTTTCCAGGGGATGACTTGTTTGTATGCATATAAAAGAAAGTTTTAGGAGCTCATGTTTTATGAACTCATTAAGGTTTTCATTTTGCAGCTGCTATGCTAATGCTGTTATGCAGTGTTTAACCTTCACGAAGCCTCTCAGCATCTATTTGCTTCATGGATATCATTCAAGAACCTGTACTTGCTTTTATTTGGTTTACTTGTTTTTTTTTTGGTACATAAAAATATTGACATTGTTCAATCACATGCATAGCTCACTTTGTTTAACATTATATAGGTTACGGGAAAGATTGGTGTCTTATGTGTGAGCTTGAGCAACATGTTATGCTGTTAAGAGATGGTGGAGGCCCCTTGTCACTTAGTAGGATCCTTTTGCACATCCGAAGTACTAATGGGCAGATGGGTGATGGAAGTCAGGAAGATGCACACGAGTTCTTGAGGTCTATAGAATTCACTTGCCGACATCCCCTGTCTCCCTTCTTTTTCCCTTTTTTATGTGTCTGGATTTGTTAGTTTTCGATTTAAATTTGATGATTTTACTTGATGTAAGAATGAAAATTTCATCACCTTGCCTCTCTAAAAGTTCCTATTGTTGTCTGTTTCAGACTCTTGGTTGCTTCAATGCAATCTATATGCTTGGAGAGGCTAGGCGGGGAACAAAAGGTCGACCCCAGGCTGCAGGAAACGACATTTATACAGCATACTTTTGGAGGGCGTCTTAGGTCAAAGGTGTTTAGAACTATTTTACTTAGTTTTACTTTTATCTCGTGATTTACTTTTGTGGTGCTTCATTTTACCTTTCCTTGATTCATATATGTTTATGTACTTTATTTGTTGCCTAAATTGAATATCCATGTAACCAGGTGAAGTGTCTAAGATGTTCTCACGAGTCAGAAAGATATGAAAGCATTATGGACCTTACTTTGGAGATATACGGTTGGGTTGAGTCACTGGAAGATGCATTAACTCAGTTTACAACACCTGAAGATTTGGATGGAGAGAACATGTACAGATGTGGAAGGTACGAAACCATTGTTTCATTGTGTTACCATATTATCATTTTATTAGAATTATTAATTAATTTGCTTAAACTTGTTTAATTTATTGGCTCTGCGAATATTTTTGTTAAAAGGTGTGCTAGTTATGCTCGAGCTAGGAAGCAATTGCGCATACACGAGGCTCCTAACATTCTGACAATTGTCTTAAAGAGGTTTCAGGTATTACGCAACTCTACATAATGTCCTCTGTTAATGTCATGTAATAAATGCAAGTGTATCTCAGAACTTGCTGTTTTGGTTTTTAGACAACTAGATCCGAGTTTTCTGTTGGTTTGAGTATGTTGATTTTTTATTTGTTAACTACTTTATGTGATTACTTCTTGACGTGGCTGTTAATCAGGAGGGAAAATATGGGAAAATAAACAAGTGTATTACTTTTCCTGACATGCTGGATATGGTTCCTTTCATGACTGGAACGAGTGACATCCCTCCACTTTACACGCTTTATGCTGTCGTGGTGCATTTGGATACACTCAATGCATCTTTTTCTGGACACTATGTGTCATACGTAAAAGATTTGCGAGGCAGCTGGTTCAGGATAGATGATACTGAGGTAAAGCTACACTCCCCTTTGTTCACTGGATGGCTATTGGTTATATGCATGACCATAGTGGTTTTACTTGTCTAAAGCTCACTGGTTGAATATCTCTTTGAAAAACAGCTGCTCAATTAAAATATTTTTGCAATGGAATTGAAACACGGGTTTGGTGTATCCCCTTTCAGGTACATCCAGTCTCAATGAGCCAAGTGATGTCTGAGGATGCATACATCTTATTTTACATGAGGTAGGCACCTATTATTTCTGAGCGTACTTCGGAAATACCTTCTTCCTTTCCCGATTTTCTCCCTTCCCTTTATTCCTTTTATTGATTTTCTAATCCAATGTAATCAGTTGGTTTGTTGAAATACTAAGATTTGTTATCAGTTTTCTTTTATATGATAATTCTTTATGCTTCCTTGTTGTATGAATGTTACTTCTGGTTTCAATATCAAAGTTCTCTTCTAGCTCTGAAAGTATGTAAATCTTCCAAGGTCATACCCTCGCCCTCAAAGAGCAATCGCTGAAAAGATCAAGCAAGCTCCTGCTAGGCTCATCGCTTCGAAAATGGAGAAGCCGTCACGGTCATCACAAAGCAAATCGAGCAGCCACTCTGTTGGCCACAAGCTTTACCCAGATTCCAGGCCTGAAATCGCTTCAGGCTGTATCAACCGCAACTCTAATGGCATTCTCAGGCAGAATGCAAATAGTAACATTCATCGAGTGGTAGAGATGTATGCTGAGCGAACCAATTTGAAGTTCTCTGATGCTACGTCTAGCGATTGGTCCCTTTTCACAAGCTCAGACGAGGCTTCTTTTACGACAGATAGTGCTCGAGACTCTTTCAGTACTGCTGACCATACCGATGCAAGCAATGGAGATCCATTCTCAATCTTCAATAACTTGTACACTCCAGACTCATCCTCTTGCGACACAGTTTCGTGCAGAATGTTTTCAACTAGTAGACCCCATACGAGGTATGTCATAGAGGAGAAGGGCTATGTTCTGGATTCCTACTCGGCCCAACTAATGAACCGAGATCAAGAGAACTTCAAACAGGTATGTGATTCTTTGACAGATTTTTCTTTAGATACTGACCATGATATGTTTGTAAAACATGGGAGTAACCCGGAAAGTACTTTTGATAGAACTTATGCCCATTGTGAATGGTAGTTCATGGAATATCCAAGTGATTAAAATAGTGACTTAGCCAAGTTAAAGGTGTCGCCTCAATTTTTGTTTTTCAATGGCTTTGTTGATTGAGGCATGTAGATCATATGAAAGAAACCCAAATGAAAGTATTATTTCATATTTTCTGAAATTGTGTTTTTTGAAGATTGTATATAGTACAGGCATTTCTCTTGGGTTCTTTTAGGCAATGTTCAATTTTGGGAACATTCTAATCTCAGTCTGCAGGCACTCAAGGGACAGCCCTTACATATAAATGTATATACGTACACATATATTTCAAGGTTTTGGTTTACTGCAACTGACAAAGGTTTTCTCAAACCACATCAGATGAAGATTATGCAGATGCAATAACCCTTCATTTTTCATTTACTTGTTCCATTGGACTCGACTGTATTAGACATGACATAAGCGACGGCACACAGCACTGCCTGAAATGAAAAAGATAACATAAATGATAGGCCCGAGCTTGAAGTTTTGGGAAGTGATCATCATAACCAGGAGAAAGACTGAATGATCAAAAACCATTTGTTTTTACATGCTACATGGTAGATACCAATCCTCATTCTCTCATACAAACTTCAGAGACTTATGACATGCGTAGTATTTTTCAGTACTATAACCTATAGGTCTAGGAAGCTAGCTTAGTTGAACTTAAACTGGCAAGAACTCATCTTCCAGATCAAACAACATCCAAATCTCATTCACCCTGCCACTAAATTCAAAAGGAGAGTTATACTGAGCAACCGTATAGACCGAAGTGCCATTATTTTTCCGAGTCCTCTCGATTGCACCGGACCAGACAGTGCCTTCAAGACTGGCTTGCAAAGCAGCAGCTTCCTCTGCAATGTTATAGTCGGTGACAAATCCACCGAATTGCCTTATTGCTACATATGTAGATTTCCATCTTTGGAGATGGAGGCCTTCAGCTGGTGGTGGATTCGCCTGGTTCACCTTTGGGACGTAAAAGCTGACGGTAAATGACGACTCGCAGAAGGGTCCATCGCTTGGTAAAACTTCAGTTATCACTGGAGCTGTCATTTCTATCTGTTGCTTGTATTTGTTCTTCCCTTGAATGTAATCAAATAGCCTATAAGCAAAGTACGAACCATAAACTTCCGTTAATTTATACTTTGCTAGCTTAAGAGAAACCTTTAATTTGTTATACCGAAGACAAGACTCCATAGTTAATTAACTGAGAGACGATAGTAAAACTTACTGAAGGAAGCCAGTCCTGGTGGCATCAACAAGAGAAATATCTTGAATGGGGGACGTTTACATCCACACACTGGAATTGTACCTGCGAATCTCATAGCCATTGCCTTGTTGAATCACATCGAAACTTGGGCACTCGATACGATTACATGTTGGTGGAAATATCCCAACTTTGTTCTTGCTGGTTTCTGGTAAGAAACCAATGTTTGAGAGTAGACTCAAGAGAAGTGATAGCTTGAATGGGATGAAAGCAGCCATCAATGGAGTTTCTTTTCAAGTGAATTTGAGTTAAAAATTTATGAGTTCCAAGGAGGGAAGTGGGATCTTTTTATTGTTGTTGTCTTCGTTTAGAATTGTTCTGAAGAATCAGTGTTTCTTGGCCAGACGTTTACAAGGACTACTACGGCGATAAAGGTGGAAATTTTGAAGCCAGCTACCATCCACAGAAATTTAATCTACAAGTGGATAATTTAAATTTGATTTATTTGTTCATAAATAAATGTTTTTCTAGGAAAATAAAATATATTAATACTTTTTAACAAAAAAATAGGTTTTTATTCAATAAAAATAATATCAATCAAATTAGTATTTAATTTGTAGTGTGGATACTAACGTATTTAAATTATAATTAAATCAAAAAGATTCTTCTAGTCCCTAATAAGGGATGCCTTAACCTATTTCATCCACTCCAAAACCAAATGTTTGAAAGTTCAATTCCTTTTCACTCTCTCTATAATATGATAATTTGATTTTAATTTTTTATTTAAAATCAACTTATAATTTCAAATGTAAAGTAAGGGATTTTTTAGAGGAATAATAAATGCAAGAAAAATAATAAGGAAAATTAATACGGGAATAAACTATTGCAGTCCTGGACGATTATTATAGTGGAGTACAAATTCATCGTTTCAACACGACGAGTTTTAATAAAAAAATATTATTTGAAGGAACTCATCATTCCAACAAGATGAGTTTCAATGAAAATTCATCTTGTTGGAACGAAAAATTCGATTAAATAATAATTTTTATTAATACTCTTCATGCTCGCCTTCACTATAGCAATTGTCTTAAATTCAAAATTTTCCCTAATAATTGTATTACCCTCTTTTTTGGATGAACTATGTATTTAGTACTTAAACCATCAGTTTTAGTCCGTTTTAATACCTTAACTTTTAATTTTTTTCAAAACCATACCTAACATTTGATTTTTATTTCATTTTATTACCCGTCGTTATAAACTTAACGGATGGGCTGATGTTATATAGCTCCGGTGGATGGACGACCAATATGAACGGTGAACCACGAGAGAATGATGAGTTGATCAACATAGTCCAGTTTCAAACCCATCTGATGGTGGGCCATGAAGATCGGAGGATAAAGAAATCGAAGAGTCTATCGTCGATTTGGGGAGATTAAAGCACTTCTTTGTGAAACGGAGGCTGGAATCCCATTCTAGGGATTGAAAAGGTGCAAGATGAAAAAGTTTGGGCTTCATTGGCCGACGACTGTAGATGCAGCGGTCAGTGAGCTCGTCCGTTAAGATTTTAACGACGTGTTATTAAAATAAAACAAAAACTAAACCTTAGTTACAATCTTGAAAAAAAATTAATTACTAAAACAGATCAAAACTGATGATTTAACCGTAGTTTACTTTTTTTTATCCGACGTGAATTATTTGGCCAAAAAAGCCTCAAAGACAATGTCATATTTCCCTTTTTCCCTTGTGCTCATCAACAACACAATTGGATTCAAAAGCTCTCACGAGGCCCAGTACAATATTTTTATAGCTCACATACTGATAACTGATCAGTTCCATCTGGACTAAACCAATAACAGCCCACCAATAAACTTGTAACCAATCACCAACAGATTCCTAACTAGAATCCAGCGGCTCAACAATGCACAGCCTTGTGGTCGGATTAGATCGTCCGCTAGCCATTGACTACAAAAATAAAAGTCCACCAGCGGCCATTAAATAACCACCTCAGAGTTTGGTTTCGGCAATCAAATGAATGAGATGCATTCACTAAAGTTGATAATTCTGCTGAATTTGGTCATTTTATGTACTCAAATCCAAGGGAGAAAGGCATGTTATGAAGAAGAGAGGAAAGGGTTGCTAGAATTGAAGTTAAAACTAGTTAATGGTCCAGAGCATGCTCTGCTTCCTTCATGGGTTGATGACCCAAACAATGATTGCTGTGGTTGGGAGAGAGTTACCTGCAACTCCACCACCGGACGTGTTGTTCTACTCTCACTCTTTAATATGCCAGATTATCATGTTCTAAATACTTTTTTTCAGTGTTTTGATGCTGCAGATTCTTCATCATATTTGAACATCACCTTATTCGAGTCTTTTAAAGACTTAAAAGCTCTCAATTTGTCCTACAATTGTATGAAATGGGTAGAGAACCAAGGTATGTATGAACCAGTGTTTACGTTACATATATGACTTTATAAAGATATTGAGTGAGTGATTTTGAGATATATTGAGTTTTGATATAAATATTAGGTTTTGGATATATTGTATATCATATAATTTATAACTTTCGCGATCTCTATATTTATAATGTCTTTTCATCCGTGAAAGTATGCAAGACTGAATCACGTAAAACCAAGTCTCTTGCAACGTATATTATATTACATTGATATTGTTTTAATTATTTTTCCGATCAAAATTTCCTAACACTCTATTTAAATTTTGGTGTCATTACGATCTTGTTTAATTGGTCAAAAGGTTTGTTGAGGCTAGAACAGCTGGAGACGTTGGATCTTTCTTTTAACAGATTAACAAGTAGCCATCTGTACTCGTTGAGGGGACTCAAATCTCTTAAAAACTTGATTCTTCGTCGGAATTCCTTAAACGGATCCTTCCCTGCCCAAGGTATATATGTAGAATTTACAATTTCGGTGTTCTTTCTTTTCCGATCGTTTTACATTCGCTGCTTTCATCATAACAATCTCTATGTCCGATCATGCAGAACTATCTGTTTTTAAATACTTGGAGACCCTGGATTTAAGTTGGAATGCACTAAGTGACTCTCCAACAAAGTTGGGTATGGGGCAAACGTTGAGCTTTCCATTAATTACCCAATGATTCGATAGTATCTGTTTGATACATGTGATGATTGACAATGGTTGCTTTGTAATAATTATCCAGATTCTGCGATTTTTTTCAAAGCTGAGGAATGTAATTCTGCGTCACAACTCCTTCCGCAGTGTGGATATTATGAGGTTTCTGTGCTCACTTCCGTCACTAAAGTCTCTTGACCTTTCCTTCAATGGAATGAGAGGCACTTTGTCGAATAAAGGTACACAAAAATGGATTTTTTTTATTATTCTTCTCATACTTGGAAATAATCAAGACCTAAATCTCGAATTGTTTGCATGTCTTGGTTTACGTTGATATTGCTTTTGTTGTTTTTCCGCTTATAAATTTCTAACAAGCCTTCTGTCAGCAAACGTACAATCTTTTATATAATGAGTGGACAGTATTTTCTTTCTTTAGGTTTCCCTTTCTGTTACCTCTTCAAACATGACTTATCTTTGTTTCGTTGTTAGATTTGATAGCTTGTGGAAGATTGGAGGAATTAGATTTAAGCCATAATCAATTGGAAGGGAGTATTCCTCAGAATTTTGGGAAGCTATCCTCTCTTAAAGAGCTATATTTGGCATATAATCAATTCAACAGCACTTTGCCGATCCCAGGTAAGAGCAAAACTAAAATGTAAGATCTATTCTTTTTCTTTTATATGATTGTAAACAATTTTGATTTCTCCTCTTGCCAATGCCAGGCTTGTGTAAATTGAGGAGACTTCAAGTGTTAGATATTCACGATAATAGTTTTGAAGGAGCCCTTCCTCCTTGTATAAGCAACTTCACATCTCTTGCGGTTTTTGATCTGCATGATAACCTATTCAGCGGCACCTTTACTCCAAATTTAATAAGAAGCCACAAGTTTCTTCAGTTCATCGACATTAGCAATAACTATTTTGAAGGTTCGTTCTCTCTTGGCTTGATATTCAATCACTCGAAGCTTGAGGTAGTCGTACTCGAGAGCCGAGAAGACAAACTACAGATTGATAATGATGACCGAGCCGGCGTTCCTTTGTTTCAACTAAAGGCATTGCGAATTTCTCATTGTAACATGAAGAATACTCCTCGGTTTTTGCTAAACCAGCATCGCCTAACTAGGGTTGATATCTCACACAATAAGTTGACCGGAGCCTTCCCTTCTTGGTTGCTTGAAAACAACACTGATCTAACGTTTCTCAACCTTAGGAATAATTCCTTTTCTGGGGAACTTGATCTTCCTACGCAGTATCCCAGGAGTAGTATGGGTCATTTGGATGTATCATACAATCATATGGAAGGGCATCTTCCAAAGGATCTTGGACTGATACTTCCAAATTTACATTGCCTTAATTTATCCTATAACTTCATCGAAGGCGAGCTCCCGTCCTCAATCGGTGCCATGAGGAAGTTGTTGTTGTTGGTTTTATCATTCAATAATTTATCAGGGGAAGTTCCGAAAGAATTGGCGGAAAATTGCAGTCTCTTACTTGGTTTGATGTTAAACGATAACAATTTTCATGGTGCATTTTTTTCCAATCACTTCAACTTGAGGAACATTCAAGTATTGAAACTGGGGAACAATGAGTTCACTGGAAGTCTGATAACCAAAAAGGAATTCTATGGTCGCATGGAAATTTTCGATGTTAGCAACAACAACATGGATGGTAAGATCCCTAATGCAATAGCTGCTGAGGTTATTTTACTGCAGAACAATTCTTTTGAAGGCCAAATTCCATGTGGAGGATTTTCTGGTGCAGATGTCATTGACATTTCTCATAACTTTCTTTCGGGACCGATACCTTCTTGTTTATCACCTGAGGCTCTGTCGAGTGTATCGTTGTTGAACCTACGAGATAATAGATTGTCTGGAAACATTCCTGCCCAAATTGGAATGCTTCCTTGCCTAAGAATTCTTTTGTTAGGAAATAATCGTTTCAATGGCTCGATTCCAGAACAGTTGTGTCAATTAAGAAACATAAGCATAATGGATCTATCGAACAACTCCTTTACGGGGTCAATACCAAGTTGCTTGATTAATGTGGCCTTTGGAACTTATCCCCATGATTTCTTCGTACAATCAACGTTTTCTTATTGGTTTAGCCAGGAAGAATTTGTTCCCTATATTGCAGACTTTAATCAAGATATCTATGATGCTAGCAGTTTCTGGAATAGTGTTCAGTTAGAAGATGAGTATGTGTATAAGATAGACTTTGTCACTAAAAATAATCTCCTTTCTTACAAAGGAGACATTCTCAAATGCATGTCTGGATTAGATTTGTCATGTAACAATCTGACAGGCCTCATCCCTCAGAGTCTTGGGAAGCTGACATCCCTTCATGCACTAAACTTGTCCCACAATCATCTGACAGGGATTATCCCCGTTTCATTGTCGAATCTATCTCAAGTTGAGAGTCTGGATTTTTCTTACAACAATTTAAGTGGAAAAATCCCGTCAGAGTTGGTCCATCTTAATTTTTTGGCAGTCTTCAGTGTTGCACACAACAATTTATCAGGAAGAGTTCCAGACAAAGGACAATTCGCAACATTCGGCTTCAACAGCTATGAAGGAAATCCGTTGCTTTCTGGGCTACCATCAGAGAAAAACGGCACCGGAGTCGTGGAGACGCCGTTTCCATTGGATGAAACTGAAGGAAAATGGTATGCAGTTGATCCTACTTCTTTCTTTGCAAGTTTTGTTGCAACATATTGTGTCTTCTTGTTGACTTTGGCGGCAGTTCTCTACATCAACACTTACTGGCGAAGGAGGTGGTCTCATTTCATTGAGAAATTTATTTACAGCTTCTGTTTCTTTGTTGTTGATCCTCTTCGCAAGTTGACTACCAATTTCAAGCATCATTTTTTCAGATGATGGACAAGTATGAAGTTTGGATTTATGCTTATTTTGATTTCATATGCAATTATTCTATTATATCTTAAAATCAGTCATTGTTCCAAGTCCCCACTTCACTGAAGATTCATCAATTAAAAAAACACGAGTGGTTGCAGAAACTTGTCAATGAATCTTGTCAATGGTGGGTGCATAGTATTGGCTGCCATTGCTGATTCCTGTCTTATATGTCTTTGGTCATAACCCACAATGGCTAGATCTTGCTTATCAAGAAAATCTCCATTTCTTGAACAAGATAACCCTTTCTATTATATTCTCTTATCTTTTCACTATTTGATTAATTGTATGTTTCCACTTGGTTTAAGTTAATGATATTCTAGTGGCAATGGTGCTTAAAATGTCCATTTCATATAAGATATTGTCAGGTCCCTCTATGGTTGAGTCAGATACAACCAATGCTGTGAATATTGCCTGCCTGTAAAGTAGTTTGTTGAAAGACAAAGTGGGTGATTTCCCCTATTATTTAGCTTTGGTTGAGCACATGTGCGCATGTTCCATGGGGTCTCACAAGTACAATGACTAGTGCTATAAAAAGGGTTAGCTTCCATTGATGGAGTCATTCCAAACATTTTTTTCAACTCTAAGCTATCTTAGCATCTTTCATTCTTTTGTCATTCTACTCCGAGTCATGGCTCTCACGTTGAAGGAGAAACCTGAGATGATCGATGGAAGAACCCGAAACCCCGGAAATCGATGCTGATCTTCTAATGTCATTGTTAGAGGAATCACAGTGTGAGGAGTACTGCAACGAGGAGGAAGTAAATAGTTTGATGGAATCTCTAGAAGCCGAGATTTGAATGGCGAGTGCCGGTCCGTGCGGTGTCGAAGGAGATATGAGGAGCGACTATGGCTTCGAATGGAGTGAAATGGAAATGGTGCCTTCGTCGCCAAGCGATGACATGAATTGGTATGTTGAAGAGATGGCGATGGATGGTTACTTGGTTCAATTTGGGACTGATTTGCCTTTGAATTGTTATGAAATTCAATCGGAAAATGGCATTGCTTCTTTGTGGCAAGAGACATATGGTACAGCTATATACAATTAGATTTTTTTGGGTTGCCCTCTCGCTTCCCAAGGCTTTGCTTTGATTAATCCAGATCGACCCGGGTCGCACACTTAACTTTAGTGGTGAGTCTCCCATCGAGAATTTTCTACATACACAAAAACATAAGCACTCGACTCGAAACCTACTTAAGGTTATATACAATAAGATTGGACATATGTATAAAATCTTTTTATTCTAAATTAACAAAAAGTATACATTTAAGGTTAAGTCTAAAAGCCTTTTACCATTGATGAAAACTAATTTCTTTGAGTTTATATGCTTCCAATATTTGTCAGTTAACACAATGGTAAAAGTTTCAAATTATTGAACAAAATTTTACAGAAAAAAAATTAGGATAACTGAATTTTAATTACCGAATTTTTTGTGTCCACAATAGTTTCTGAATTTGATAAAAATTTTCAATTTGGTTTTGGTTAAAGACAAAAACATGATTAAAAAAATTGAATGATGAAATTTATAATTGATTTTATCAGTTTGATTTCGAATTTAAAAAAAAATTATATCCGATAGAAATAACTAACAAAATGATCTTACAATCGAAGAAATCGAAGTGATTTGAAATAAAAATTGGCAATTTCAAATTTTCAAAAAGATATTATTAAAACAAACAATAATAAATTTCGAATATAAATCGTAAAAGAACAATAGTTTTTATTGTTACCGAATTTTGTTCATCTATGGGGTCACTTTAAAATTTCATATAAACGTGTCAAATCATATTTAAGATTATTCATAGATTATGATAAATTTGATCACGAAGTTTCTCTGACTGTATTTATCTTTAAATTAATAAATGAAGTTAGATTTAAAAATATATGTGTCATTGATAATTAATAACATAAAAATAAGAAAAACGATATTAAAAATGTATATAAAATGCATTCTGGATTTGTATATCTTCATCTTACAACATAAAAGTTGTACCAACACATGAATCTTGAACTAAACAGCAATTATCAATAATGTGATGATTTAAGTAATATAAAATCAAACGACACTCCAAATTTAGTGACTTACCCTACATTAGATCGTAATCCAAATCGATTAAGATTAATATTAATTTAACTAATGAAGTAGCTGAATTGATTTCTTATCTTATCTGAAACCTTCATGTAAAGGAAGAATCAGAGCACATGGGTCATTGGCACTGAACCTAGAAGAGTGGTTCAACTTCATTTTTATTTGTGGTGGCAACACGTGTTGGTTGAATCCATTTCTTCCTCATCACCCAACACGACCATGTGACAAAAACTCACTTGTTTTCATGCACTGTTCAAGGGTCTACGAACTTGGCAATGAATCTTGTCAATGGTGGGTTATGGTGTACAATGTCTGCTACAATATTTTAAGATACGTTTATGTTTAAATAATACAGCAATCTCTATTCACCTCTCCTGTCATTATTGGGTTGATTGTATGTTTCATGTGCTTTGTGTTCTAAAATATTGCATCAAACATTTATATAAGCAGTAAATTACAAGTTTCATCACTCAACTTTCTTATCATTCATGTATCGTTAAAGTTTGAAAATTTTCAGTCTACTCATTGAAGTTTCGATTTTATTCTTATTTTCATAACTCCACCGTTAAATACTTAATGATATTATGACTAAACAATTTTCTTTTAAAACTTATGAAATTGTCCTAAAACTTTCTTTATTTTTATGTTAAAAAAACTCACACTTTCAAATTCCCTTTGATTTATAAATGATGAAGCATTTTCTTCCAAATCCTAATAGTGGGGAGGTGAAGGAGGAAGCAAAGTGTCTATCTTGATTCCACGTTGATTGGATGGTGGCTATTATCAATAAGAGTGGTTTATGAGTTTAGGGTTGAGTTTTAAAGTGATTTAGGTAAAATATAAACTTGTAGATTGGTAAGAGACAATGAGACGAGTTCGTTGACATCTTGAGTGGTCGTTGAAGACACCAAAGAATGATAATTGCAGTGCCGACGTGACACGCGAATGAAACTATAAAACTTTTATCTTTGAAAGAAGAAGATAAAATAAAAAGGAAAGAAAAAAGAGAAAATAACGTGGATAACAAATAATTCTATGATTCCTTGCCAATAAAAAGTAGTTTATATCAACATACGTAGTTGTCATGTCACCCTTTTATTCAAGTGATCAAAATAGAAGTAAATCGAAAGTTTGATGAGTGAATTGAGAATAACTTTAGTAACTAAAATAGGAGTGACAATAAACTTAGATGAGATTTGTGGTTTACGCTTATTGAATTATGTCAAATGCAGTTGTTGTTGCATGACAAAGTGGGTGACTTTTCTATTCCTAACTGAAGTGGAATCCTTCACTTAAGATATACTTAAATTCATGTGGTGGCAATTAATTAGGCCAACTTTGATTTGTCACAATTTCTAAAATAATATCACCATGTTCTTTGGTTGTCTTGTTCCATCTTTGTCTTGGACAACCATTCATTTTTTAATAATTATTATTTTTATTCCGGTGGGATCTCAACAAGTAACAACAATCACCTGCCCTATAAAAGGGTTATAGCTTCCGCTGATTGAACCATTCCAAGTCTAGCTTATCTTAGGGTTTTTTGTTTTTGTCGTTCTACACCAAAAACAAAGGAGAAGATATGGCTCTCTTGCTGAAGGAGAAACCAGGATTGATGGACGGAAATAATGTGATGGACGACGTCCCCGAAATCGATGCTGATCTTCTAGTCTCGTTATTAGAGGAATCACAGTACGAGGAGTATTGCAACGAGGAGCAGGTAAACAGCTTGATGGAATCTCTAGAAGCAGGGATTCGAATGGCAAACCATGGTTCATGCAGTTCCGAAGGAGACATTGAACTCAACGGCAGCTCCGAATGGGCTGAAATGGAAACGGTGCCGTCGTCGCCGAGTGATGACATGAACTGGTGTGTGGAGGATCACTTTGAGGAGATATCAATGGTTGAGTTGGTTCAATTTGGAAATGACTTTGCTTTGAATTGTTATGAATTTCCATTAGAAAATGGCCATGCTTCTCTGTGGCAAGAGACATATGATACATCCATATACAACTAGAATATTTGTATTTGATTTTTTTTTTTTCATTAGAAAATGTATAAATCTAATTTAATTTTTTCACAGTAAAGTCTTCTTCTGAAGATGTATATGGCAACATATAAAGCTACATAGTAACAGCATGTGAAGATGTACTTGACTCATTATTAGAGCTCCCACAGCCATTAGCCTCCATTGATGTTTCAAGAGGAAGTTGATAAAATAGCTTAGGAGGCATTTCAAGAAGTTCAACATCACTTTCAAGCATCTTCAACACTTTATTCATCGAAGGCCGATCGACAGGCTTCGATTGTATACACCAAAAGGCTGTTATGATCATCTTCCTCGCCATTACTTTTTCATCATCGGAAACATCTCCAAGTTCCATGTCCTCTCCTTGATCCAGTCGGTCATAGATCCATGATGGAAAATATATCTAACTGGTCTGGTCTGCAAATGCATTCACATTCTTTCTCCTCCCCACCATTTCCATCAGTAACATTCCAAAACTATAAACATCAGCTTTATATGAGATGCCTCCAAGATTTTTGTAAACCAATTCAGGAGCAATATATCCTATTGTTCCTCGTGCTGCAGTAAGCGAGACGATGCTGTCGTTTACTGAGTACAATTTAGCAAGACCAAAATCCGAAACTTTTGGATTAAAATTCTCATCTAGAAGAATATTGTGTGGCTTGATATCAAAATGTAGAATTTGCATGTCACATCCCTGATGCAAGTAGTCGATTCCTCTAGCCACTCCAAGCACAATATCAAACATCTTTTTCCACCCCAAAGTGTTCTTATTTTCATCTGCGAATATGAGTTTATCCAAAGATCCATTCGACATGAAATCATAAACAAGAGCTTGCTTTGATCCCTCCACACAGAATCCGATAAGTTTTGCCACATTAGCATGATGAATTCTCCCGATGGAAGCAACTTCGTTTATGAAATCTTGGCCGTTACCCTTTTTGTTTCCCAGCAATTTCACTGCCACATGATGTCCACTACGAAGCTTTCCTTTAAACACCGAGCCGTAGCCCCCTTCACCTAATTTTTCTTTAAAACTCCATGTCATTTTTCTGATTTCTTTGAAAGAATACCTGATAGGCACTAGATTGTTTTGTCTTTGAAGGAACTCTTCGATCGTATGATCCATAGAAAGATGTCTCCTTCTCCATTTATACATAACAAGTGCAAGCAAACAAAGTATCCCAACAAAAGGCCTCAATAAGATAACTCCAACTATGAAGAAGAACAAATTGCAGCACATTAGTACTTGTGAAGTTAATGAAACATATAAGATAAACCACAAGCATACCTGTTGCTTCAATAATGTGATCATAAGCAGCTGTTGAAATACAAAGACAAAAGGACATGTATAAATCTCAATATTATCAGAGAACAGAAGGGCAAAGTATCAGTAAAAATAATGCAAATAAACTCTGCAGAACATACCTTTATACATCTCAGTATTAGCATCAAGGAATCGATAAGGCCCATGGAAAATGAAATGTTCGAAGCTATTCTGATATCTTCTCAAGACTTGTTTCACTCTATCCAATCTGCAATGAGTACCAAACAAGCAGACTGACAACAGGTTTAATGCAAAAACTTGATAATTTTTTTTAAAAAAAACTTACACATCTTGAAACGAAACTTTGTTGCTGCAGTAGTCCCTGTTGAGGTACTCCAATGATAACAAAAACACCCTCTGATAGCTTCTTGTAGATACTGAACGTAGACATGCCTGATATATTATAAACCATGATTGGAACCTTAGCTTCCACGATGCAGAATTGACTGAAATCAGATTTCAAGGTTCCCTCATCTAAAAAGTAGAAGTAGGTAGTTGGAAGGGTAGAGGTATTGGTATCAACGGTACAATGAGAGGCGTCGATATAGAGAGACGATTCCATTGGTTTCGTGCAGTTTACAACATACATAATGCTAGCCTCTGTCTCTTCAGGACGATGATCATCATAATAACTAGAATAGTATTCACGAGAACGATAATAATGGGAAATTAAAGAATAATTATATATGGTATACGGATATCCACATGGAGTAGGATATATGGAACTGAGAGGAAGGGAGTTACAATCATCCATGTCCAGGCTGGCATCGACCACGAGAATAGTATAATTTTCATAAAAGATTTCTTCAACATTGAATTTCCCTTGTGGCAAAACCAAAGCGGTGCGGCTATTGTTCTCACACTCGAGTTCTAGCGAACAGTAGCCACACTGGTGAGGTTGGGTTTTCAGTCGGAATGGATAACTGATATTCAAATTTCCTCAGAAAACAGAGCCGCAGTTCTGGTATCGATGCCATGCGAGGCAAACAACTGGGAATAAAAGTAGAAATAAAGCATAAGCCGCCATGAGGTGACCTAAACATAGGAGTTTTGCTTCTAATCGTTCCATGATAAAACCAGCCAAATATATAAGAAGCTTTAGTGGGGTGAAAGTGAAAATTTCCAACTTGTAAGTTACACCAAGTTCAAAGTGAAAATGTCTTAAATTGATAAATTATAGATATAAAAATAATAACATGTTGGCAGGTTGCACTCCAAGTTGTTATGTCTGATGACTGAGACTGTTAGTATTTAAGTAATGAAAGTCTTCTTTCCTTCAAAAAAATAAAAATAAATATCTGCAGGCCATAGCTCCATCAATAATATATAGAAAGAAGAGAACTTCACGGTTCTTAATTTTCGGTTCCGATTACTTGGTCAAGTTTGTCTCCATCATATAGATAAATTAACAAACCTGTTTTACCACGTCAACAATCTTGTGAATTATATTCTTTGCTCGTTGAAGGACGGTCAGCATCGTGTGAGGGACAGAGAGGAACCGAGAGGGAGGGAGCAATTATCTGGAGTAGTCAAGCTTGGATCGACGAATCGTATCGACTATCGAGTGATCGGAATGCGAGATGTGTTGGACATAGAATTTGCCTTGTTCGATGACTAAGACAGTCCGGTTGATATCATTATCGAAATTGAATTCGTATAGATTGTTATCGTTTTCTGAGATAGATTTATTGGACCTTACAATTGTGATATTATTTGAATATGTCATGTCCAATTAATTCATATGGATTCATTTTCATATAATGTTTTGGGCCTGGATGACATCTGCATTCAGTTATGAAGTATTGCACTCTAATGTTCTTGTTCCCTTTAAATTTATATGAATTTGGATTAATTTATATTATATAAAATTTAAAAGAAAAATATACTTTTTACAATCATCTTAAACTATTTACATAGTATAATTATATATTAAATATACTTATTCTCAATATCTCGAATCCAAAACCTTGATTAAATTGAAATAAAATTTTTAGCACCCATTGAGTGGTCTCAGTAGTTAAAGAGAGAGTTGTTCTCCATTAAAGTCTTAGGTTCAAGCAGATACATCTACATGATACATATGTCGACCCTTTTCTTTCACAGGCATACAATTTACATTTCAACAATATTAGCTATAACTAATGTAGGGTAGGTATGCAACTAACCTATCAAATAGCTGGTTTTTGTATTCCAATCTCGAATTAAAAATATGGATGCAATATGATATAATTTGCATGCATCATACCACTTTTTACATGGCAATTTTATTAGTGGTTACTGGTTAGGCATGCTCTTTGGCGGCTCAAGCTTGGTGGGGTTAGGTTTTAAAATTACTTGAAAAGAGGGGAAAACAGGGATGGTGTGCTCCAACAACATTTACAAACACTATGTTCCTGGCATGTATAACAACTACCTAAAAGGAATGTTGAAAATGGTATCATTTGATATAATCATATATTATTATATATCTGAGTTTATCACTTTTATGTTTAGTATGATTTTTTTATTTGATTTGATGCTTATATTTACCAATATTACACGTTTGGTAGTTGAATTTTTTGCTTTTATAAATGTGGTATCCATATTTTTCTTTTAATCGTTTTCCTACTTATATTTGTTAGACAGTTCCTAGCATGTATAACAACCACCAATATTACACGATTTTTGTACTACCGGATTTAGGAATGACATGTGGTTTCATACGATGAAGTGTGAAGGTCAATGACGGATCTATAAATATTTTTCAGGATGAGGTACATATGTATTGATAAAAAAAAAAATTTGTATGGCATAGATACAAATAAAATTTTAGGGTGAACACTCTCAACAAAATGAACATCTAATATAAAAAAATTGTATTTTAAGATGGACATGTGTCTACTTTGAAATACAAATACATCTGCCACTTGTGATTGTAAATGAGACAATCGACTAGTGAGAGTATGATGATAAGAAGTTACCCGTGATAGTTGATTCGATCGTGACATTAGGAATTTAAGTGATTTGAGTAATTTAAAGATTTTAGAGGGTTTTTTTTTAGTAAACTAATGATTTTTGTTGTTTAAATAAAATTAAAAGAATTTAAAAAATACATTGTGAAACACTAATTGAATAATAGATTTTTTTAATGATCATCAACAATCAAATACTTTAAATAGTAATTTTAAAACATTAAACACACACTAATAAAAATACTTAAAATTAATCGGAGATATAATTTAGATATTTTTAAAATAAGTCTTATTTTTTATTTATTTCATTTTCTCCATTCAATTCGTTTTGTACTGTTTGATTTGGTTTATTTGTCGGTAGTACGTATTACGTAACCCTTATTCATGCGAAATTGTCTTTTTTTTAAATAAAAAAATCAGCAATAGGGTAAAATGTCAATTTTCAAACAATATATAACTGCGGCGTCGGCAAACGAGTGAAGAATCCTCTACGGTAAGGAACACAATGCTATCCTAGTTTTTCCAATACTTTTGTCACACACAAGCATCCCATCTGATCAATGTTTTAAAGTTTTTCATTCTTTTAATGTATGCCCGAAGCTCTCTTTTCTTGAATATTTTATATTTCATCAGCAAACACGGCATAGAAGGCACATGATCCCTATGCATGATTAAGGAATAATAATGATTTGAATTATAATTTTTTCAAATTAAATATATCAAAATTAATTAATATCTTATGTTATGTAGACGAGACTTGCACAAAATTTATTTTCGATAAAACAAAATATGAAATTTGATCAGTAAATTCTTTTATAATGATGATGGCTCTATGATCAACACACGAATTAAAGAGCATTATAAATATCGTCAATTAAGACTGAAAAATGAGATAAACTACTCATAACGTATTGACCTTCTTTCTTTTCTTTATGATCATTTTTTCTCCCTCGTTCACACGTCAACTAACAATAATTTTCTCATTGATTATGACATTGATTATGACTCTCCTCTTATTATAAGGAAAGGAAATAACCATTAACAATAATCATGCGTCGTTGTCGGTGCATTTCCGATCACCGGCAAGAAAACTACCAAATTGAAATACTTGAGAACCAATGTAAGCCGAGCAAAGTAACCATCTCTAATAGAATTTCTTAACAGTTTATTCACGGGACCTTAACGACTTCACGGGACCTTAACGACCAGTGTAACCGTGCAGCTTTACAGCATGGGAAGCTGCCTGAATCCTACCTGAAGCTATGATATATTTTTTATTATTATTCTAATCATGATTTATTACAACGTTTAAACTTAATTAATTTATAAATTTTGAATAAAAAAGTAAACGCGAAAGAAGTGATTTGCACGTTTCCACATGATCCCTATAAACACTTGGACAAAAGAAAAATGCAAGAATGTCAACTTTCTCAACGCGACCGCCATCCCATGTGGCATGTGAGAACAAAATTGAACAAATTATCGTAATTTGTCAAATTATTACGACTTTACTATAGTATCAGAAAAAATTATAAAAATGTATTATAGGACCAATCTCTCAATGAATTTAATCTAAGGATGAAATCTAATTTAATCTGAAGAAATAATATCGATATTTAAAGAAAATTAGGATTGAATCTAATAAGACCTTTTGAAAAAAATTTGTATAATTTTAAATTTTATTCGATTTAATCTTGATATTTATAATATAATTGATAAAAATATATGTACAAAGTTGGCGTCTAATAATATATTAGAATTATTATATAGATTAGGATATACTCTGATTTTATGTTATTTGAATATATTAATATTTTATTCAATTTTTTTAAATTTATATTAAATTTAAGGGTAAACAACACCCGATATCATCGAATTTTAGACGTTGTATCGTTTATACTATTGAACTTTGATTTTCGTTTTAATTATATCACTGGACCGTTAAATCATTTATAGTTATATCAAAACGACATCGTTTTCGCGAGATATCTACGATGACAATCACATATGTTGCTGTCAGCCACATGTTGTTAATGATTGTTCAATGATATAATTGAAATAAAAATCAAAATTAAGTGCTATAATTGGTAAAATAAAAAATTTAATGGTATAAACGATACAATATTTAAAATTTAGTGATATCTAATGTAGTTTATCCTATAATTAATTAAGTTTAGGGTAAAGTATAGTAATGGTCACTGAACATTTTTGAAGCTTGCATTTAGGTCCCCCAACTTTTAAAACTTGCAATACAGTCCCTCAACATTTATTCCGTTTGTAATATGGTCCCCAACTTAAACCAATGTTAGAAAATTAGGGTAAATTATATAAACGGTCATTGAACTTTTCAAACACTTGAATTTAGGTCTCTCAACTTTTAAAACTTGCAAAACAGTCCTCAATTTCATTATAAACCTCAATTTCCAAAGTAATTCAATTTCATTCTAAACCATTGATTCTACTAAATCATAAATGATCACTGTATGAGCAAATTCAGGTGAATCATAAATGATCGCACTGTAAAGCACTGAAGGGTTAGGTACTCAAATCTGATAAAAAAATAGCATGCAAGAACATAGTGGTACTTAAATCATAATGCTCTAAATGAGTGTTCCGAATTTCATATAGTCAAAAGTTGAAGAAATGAGCAGAGTTTATGGGAAGTTGAAATACCGAATATAGTGCTTCCATTTTGCTATTCGGGATGTTTAATCAGTGCATATTGTTATTCAAAATTGATATAGATAGTTAAACAAACCTCAAATTTATATTGAAATAAATATTTTCAAATAGTAAATTCATGTTCAAAATTTCAAAACACCTTAATTCCATTCTAAACCCTAAATTCAAAAAATATTTCAATTACATTCTAAACCTTAAATTGAAGTATTTTAGAATTTGGGGTTTAAAATTAAATTGAATTATTTTGAAATTTAGGGTTTAGAATGAAATTGAATTACTTTAGAAATTAGGGTTTAGAATGAAATTGAATTACTTTGGAAATTGGGGTTTAAAATGAAATTGAGGACTGTTTTAAAAGTTGGGAGACTTAAATTCAAGTGCCTGAAAAGTTCAATGACCGTTTATATAATTTACCCTAATTTTCTAACAATGGTTTAAGTTGAGGGACCATATTGTAAACGGAATAAATGTTGGGGGACTGTATTGCAAGTTTTAAAAGTTGGGGGACCTAAATGCAAGCTTTAGAAATGTTTAGTGACCATTACTATACTTTACCCTTAAGTTTAATATTAAAAAATAGTAAATTATATTTAAATTCAAATTGAATTATTGTCAAGTTTTATTTCATTTTATCGACGGACAAAAAATCCACCCTATTGCCATCACTAATTCAATCCAACCGTCCATTTAAAGGTGATCATCGCGCATTCAATCAGAATTCCAACATAATTAAAAGAGCCGACCGCCGTTTCACCGACTTTTTTGTCCCCCGAGAGCTAGAATTCTATGCAACTGATCGTACTATATCAACAAATCAGTGACACAAAATATCCTGATTATCCGCCACGTGGGTACCACGTGGATACTAGGTTAGTTATTTTGCCCCATATTTACTAAAATGGTCTACGGAGGGTATTTCATAATTCGGAGGTCTTCTACGGAAGTTGTTCTCAACCTGGTGTTGGAGACAACCTACTATCTTACCTCCCCTTACCCCATTATATATGGGAACAAGGGACAACCATTTACTAAAATGATAATTTTACCCCTATTCTATATTTTGAAATATGTTGACCAAAATGTATTATTTTAAGTAAAAATAAAAACTCATAACATTAAATAAAATAATCACTTTGTCCCTTGTTCTTTTTTCTAAGAGTATTTGAACTCTTGATGTTTCATTTTAGATTAAAAAACTCATATTTTAAAGTATTAATCTTATTTTAAAAAACTCATAACATTAGATAAAATAATCATTTTAATAATTCCGGAAACAAGAAACTTATCCAACATATATATATATATATATATATATATATATATATATATATATAAAACATCGGAACGCGTAGCAAGCACGTGATGGAAACGTGGCATATAACCAAAGCTGCCAGTCAAATGACGAGAAAACATGGCGAAGGAGATACAAGGGTAATCCACGTGGATAAAGATCTTACCAAAAGTGAAGTAATTATCGTTAGTTATATAAATCCGTGTAATATTAGTTTAATCAATTGAGTAAATTTGACTATAAATCAAAATTATCCAAATAAAAGTATACCATTTGAATTCACAGGAAAGTATTCATGTTAGGCATAATTAAAGCTTAGAGCATGAAATTATTACTAATCAAAGATCTAAAGACACATGATCTCACCAATTAAGTAAATAATTCTGCTAATCTATTTTATTATTATTTCTAATATAATTAAGCTAAGAAAAACTCATGAAAAAAAGATTGATGCCCTCGTCGTCGATGGAACAAAAATTGATGTTGTCGTTGGTTAAATAAAATTTAAAAAAAAAATTAAAAGCGACACAAAAATATCGAGATAAAATTTATGATTATAATATAATATTTATACGATTTTTTTTTAATCATTAATAATAAATACATCTTATAATTATAATTAATCGAATATAAAATAAAAAAAATAGTATAACTTTGAATGCTATAAAAAATCCAATTAAAAACATATGAAATAAGAAAATTTCCGAGTTGATCTCTCAAACTAATTATCCAATAAAATATCCAGAAAGAACACTTTCGCATTTCCCAATCAAAACTTGTTTGCTTCAACTATACGATAGTGTTTCCCTGAAGAGGAAACCAATCAAAGTAACCATTTTTAATCTGTAAATAGTTACGTACTATAATAAGTCCATTTCTTCAAAAGAAAAAAAAAATCAACTCTGATCATTGTATAAGATGGGAGTAGCTTAGAGTAAATACAACCGTCTTTCCATTTGGATTACGCATTCATTTCAGACAAAGCACACACACCCTTTGAAATCCAAGTCTTTGATTCAGATTCCTTTGTTCTTTCTTTGTTTTTCCAAATAAATTCTCCGTGAAAGTTCTGTTCTTTGTTTTTGATTTCATCAATGATAGTGATTTGGGGTATGGAAAGAAAAAAGAGTGAAAATTTGTGATTTTTGTTGAAGTGGGGTTTTCTTTCTCTGTTCTTTGAAATGGATTTAATGGAGATTTCAATAATGCTTCACGTTGGATTAGTTTTGCTGCTGCTTTGGATGCTTTCTCACTACAATCTTTGCCATCCACTTGCTTATTTTGTGTCTCTCATTTACCTCTATTTGGTAATTCATATCTACTTCTGGGAAAAAATGAATCTTTTGATTATTTTGGAACTTGGCTTGTACTTTTTTTTTGTTACAAAAATTCCTTTTATTTATATGTTCATTTCTTTGTTGATCAAAGGTTCATGAAAGCTATGTGACGAGATTGAGGAAGAAATTGGAGTTCGAGGAAAAAAGGCAAAATTTTAGGAGAAGGGTGATTCTCAATTTCATTTTTCCTTGTTCTTTTTGCTGTACTTTTTAAGTTTTTGAAAATATTGATTTATTCTGATTGTAATTATATTATTTATCAGTCATTTTGGATGTATTTTTCCTTCTGGGTAATTCTGACTACTGTAGCAGATATTCTTTTGTTTTTCTTTAATGGAGGTTTTTCTTTCTTTGGTTGGCTGGAATGGTTACTTTTCTTGGTCAATTTTAGTCTTTTGGGTGTTGAGAAAATGTTTAGAATCAGCCTCTTTATGAACACCCCCCCCCCTTTATTGAAAGAGGAAGAAGCATCAACTTTCCAACTTTAAGTCTTATTCTCCTTGTGATGTATTCATAGGTGGATTCAAGCTTTAGATTCATGTTTTTGGTCTTGTAAAGTTTGTCCCTTTAATGCTTTGTTGGCCTTTTATTTATCTCCAGGTACTTTCGGATTCCGAATCTGTTCGGTGGCTAAACCATGCTGTTGAAAAGATATGGCCTATTTGTATAGAGCAGATTACATCACAGAAGATTCTGCTTCCTATCATACCTTGGTTCTTGGACAAGTACAAACCTTGGACTGCTGTAAGAATTTTGCTTTCTTGGTACATTCTATTTTGTTGACTAAAGATTGCGATTTAGTAAAATGTTCGATTTAGGGAAAGAATTATGAACAAGTTGCTCTTCATTTGTGGTTTCAATTTCTGAATCATGTGATTCTTATGGCATGAACAAAAACGTCTAGCAGTCTAATTGAAGAATAACAATCTCGATACTTGCATTTGCTTTTGTGAAGTTACTTCCAATGACCAGCAGATGATTATATTCTTATCGACTTTGTGAATATTTCGTTATGATACTGCTGTACATGCAGGAAAAAGCTGCGGTTCAGCACTTATATTTGGGAAGAAATCCACCTTTGTTCACGGAGATGAGAGTTCTTCGTGACTGCTCCGATGATGACCACTTGGTACATGTTCTCCCAACTCTTCCCAGACATATAATCAGAGAGGCAATTATTTCTCATTTCAATTTTGGAGGTAATAGAAGTTTCATTTTCTCATTGCAGGTACTGGAGCTGGGAATGAATTTTATCACAGCTGATGACATGAGTGCAATTCTTGCTGTGAAACTCAGGAAAAGATTGGGCGGGATGTCGGCAAAGTTGCATGTAACAGGCATGCATGTTGAAGGAAAGGTACCGGAAAAAAATGTTATTTTTGCTATAGTATTAGCTATGTTGCATGTGAAAAGAGTTTGTGGTCTCTCCTAAACAGTAGTACTGCCGAGGAATGTGCATCATGTGACATATCCAGACCCATGCAAATACTTAATTTCTATTGACTTAGCATAATTAATTGGCATTTACTCCATCTTTTAGGTTTTGATTGGGGTGAAATTTATCCGGAAGTGGCCTTTCCTTGGTCGTCTGAGAGTATGCTTTGCTGAGCCTCCATATTTCCAGATGACTGTGAAACCTATCTTACCTCATGGACTTGATGTTACTGAACTTCCAGGGATTGCTGGATGGCTTGTAATAACTCTTTTTCCTTGATAAATCTTCAACTTCTTATTTAACATCTCTTCCTTTCTCCTAATCGTATTGTGCATCCTCGTTTTAGGATAAACTTCTCTCAACAGCATTTGAGCAGACGCTTGTTGAGGTTAGTTTTTTTCTTAACTCCATTGCCTACCATGTTCTATATTATATTCTGCAAATTCATATCGCAATTTTAGGATGTACTTACAGGTTTAAGTTATCACCAATTTTCTCTCCCGATCGAACTTTAGCTCTAAATATTTGTTTCTTTTGCAGCCTAATATGCTGGTGGTTGATGTCGAGAAGTTTGCTTCTCCCAGTTCAGGTAATTTGGTCATTAATTTGCGTTGTTTCATTGTTCTTATATTTTACTTATAGCTCATTCTGAGGTCATTACTTAATACAGGTTAACTATTTTGACGAGTTAATATTTTTATTATCATTTCTAATTTTCTCATTCACCTTATCGTTCAATGTATACCCAGAAAACTGGTTTTCTGTCGATGAGAAGCAACCTATTGCTCATGCTAAGGTTGAAGTTATTGAAGCATCTGATATGAAACCTTCAGATTTAAATGGTTAGTTTCAGATCACTTTACTTTATATTTCTATCATATAATATCTGATTTTATGATTGTTGATTGAATATAAATTTCCAGGATTGGCTGATCCATATGTGAAGGGGACACTTGGCCCTTATAGATTCAGGACTAAGACGCACAAGAAAACTTTGTCTCCGAAATGGCACGAGGAATTTATTATCCCTATATGCTCTTGGGAGACACCTAATGTAATGGTTATAGAAGTTCGGGACAAAGACCATTTGTTTGATGACACCCTCGGGTTTGTCTCTAAATCTCTAAAATAACCATATTGTGCAGTATGTTTAAATCGTCGAGCGAAATTTCTTTTTTGTACTCCTTTTATATTTTTTTGAGGTCCATCTGTCCTTGCAGTTTTGTGAGCTATGTTAACAACCCTTTATAGTTACCTATTAGTTTATCTTCAAACTAGCATCTGTTTAGCTTTTGCGGTCGTGATATTTGATGGCGCAAGTTGTTGCTTTTGAGATTTTATCCTTTAGCGTTTCATCGTTACTTGTGATTTTAATCGTACTTATGTGGATTATCCACATTATCCTTATAACTTGTTTATCAGTCTAATGGCATACTGGTTTTTCTGTGTTTACAGTAATTGCTCGGTAAATGTTACCGAACTTAGGGGTGGCCAGAGACATGACATGTGGTTGCCTCTTCGAAATATTATAATGGGAAGACTGCATCTTGCAATAACCGTGGTTGAAGATAATGCTAAGGTAACCTATTATATAGTCCGCTGGTGGATAAGTATGAGCTAAAATCTGCAGAGAAACTAAGACTGAATCTGTGGACAGGTTACACCTGGAAGTGATGACGCAGTTCACGCTGAAACATTAAACAAGGAAGATATACAAGTCGCCTTTGCAACTAAAGATGCTGATAACCGTTCATTCTCACCTACGTCTTCGCTTAAGTCTCCAACCCTGCTGGACCATTTAGAACCGATAGATGTTGAAGGACAAGAAGAAACTGGGATATGGGTTCATCACCCTGGAAGTGAAGTGTCACAAACTTGGGAACCTAGGAAAGGGAAGGGTAGAAGCCTTGAGACACAGATTCATAGAGTGCCTAACAGTTCTTTTGGCAGCACCATTTCAGCAGCATCTGGATCCATTAAAAGTGATGACAGCAGTTCCGAAGAAAATCCTAATTCGAAAAATCGAGTCAACATGGTTAAGAAGGGTTTACGAAAGATTGGTTCTGTATTTCAGAGGAGTCCCAAAAGTGAGGGTTACTCAGGCAACCTTGGAGAGGTGGTTCCTTCTTCCCATGAAAACCTCAGAGCAGTTAATGACAAGGATGTTTTGGTGAAGTTTGTAGTTGACGACAATCTCTCAGCTGATAAGGACTCAAATGATGGAAGCTCAAGTCCCGGGGGAAGCAGTGCAGAAAGCCCTAGAAAAATGAAAGATATGGCGAAGAGTATTCTAAAACATGCTGGGAATTCTGCTCGTAGCATAAAACATGTTCTTTCTCGTAAAGGGTCGAAAAAATGTCGCAATCTATCAGCTGTGGAAGAACAAGAGTTCCCAATAGAATCCGACTCCAATGTCGATGATGATTCTTCGTCATCCCCCGGAGTCAAGAGAATGCCGGTTCTTTCCAATCGCATATCCAACTCCAGAAGCAACGACGATGCAAAAGATGCTCAGGAGCATGTCATTCTAGCAGATTCAAACAACCAGTTGAACCCTGAAACAAATGCCGAGGGACAAGTGGAACAATCGAGTGTTGAAGGCCATAATAGAGTAGATGACGATAAAGTCAACAGTCCTGTTAAGCCCGGTAATGGAAGAGATGAGCCACCCCAAAAACCGAATCCTTCTGAGGGGAACTTGGAATGTGAGAAAAAAGTAGGAAGACAATCCTCAAACTGATACTAAAGTTTAGGTTCCACTGAGGAATATGAATACATTGGTATGTTCTATTCCCAGCTACTATTTCATCCAAGGTAAAGACTTGCCAAGTTTTGAAGAACAGTGCCATGGTACAGCACTATAGAGTTTTAGGATATGAATACATATAGATCTTTTCCTTGTAAATCTCCATGTTTGATTTCACATTTCTGTTATACAAATCAGTGTAAACTATCAAAATGAAAACAGTTTGTACATGATGAGCAACACTAAGAGCCATTTGCCTTGAACCTTTGAGCACCTTGTTTTCTTAGTTGGATACATATGACTGATAATTTATCAAAATTTCTAGACTTGGCCTAATATGCAATATAAAATATTATTTTAATGAGTCCACCGTTTCTCCAGCAAACAGCAAAAGAGCAAAATTGTGAAAATGAAGTTTAACGAATGGAGGATAACAGTATAAAAATCCTTGCTTTGCTTTCCAATGCAGACAACCACTTGAATATAACATTAAAAAACACTTGAAGATGTCCAACTGATAAAGCATTTGATTACACTTTGATCTAATCGTTTCCCAATCTCATTTTTTATTTTAAAAGAAACCCATCACCCTCATAAACCGGAATTGACAATGCTGAACTTTGGTTTCATAAGATCATCAACTATTCGATTCTCTCCTTTTATTATTAATCATTCTTCTCCTCCATCTTGTTTCAGTTTCTCTCCTAAGAAAACCATCAGTTTTGCAGTACGATCACAAATGGGGTCTTTTACAACTTTATCTCAATCATCTGCAAGGCTTTTGTTTCGTCAGCTGTTCGAGAAAGATTCCTCTACTTACACTTACCTCCTTGCTGATTTCTCTCACCCTGATAAACCAGCACTTGTAAGTGTTTTTCCCAGAAAATAAACTCTGGGTTTTTATTAGTATTTGATGTGATGATATGCTATGCAGTTGATTGACCCTGTAGACAAGACTGTTGATAGAGATTTAAGTTTGGTTAGAGAATTGGGGCTGAAGCTTATATATGCCATGAACACTCATGTTCATGCTGATCATATCACTGGAACTGGCCTCATCAAGGTTTCCCGTCTCACTACTAGAGAAATAAATTCTATTATCAGTTATTCCATTATTGTTGCTCAGATTGTTTCCTATTTCAGATTCTAAATATTCTGGATTTTTTTTTTTTTTGCTATTTGTTTGATTCTTTTAGGGCAAGGTGCCTGGTGTCAAATCTGTTATTTCAAAAGCGAGTGGTTCCAAGGCTGATGTTTTTGTTGAGCCTGGTGATAAAATCTCTTTTGGCAATCTATTTCTTGAGGTAGGCCTGTGTGTTCAAACATGCTTGTTCTGTCAGTTATATTGTATAGGTTTTTTGAATAGTCCTGGAGAATATAGCTTTGATGTTTGGGTGGTTTGCATATTGCTGGTATGTTATGAATTCTTTTCTTTAAAATGGTACCGCTAAACTCGACTAAGTTGAAATATTTGTTCACCCGACTTACTTAGGATGGTCTGATCTGTTATAAACATCATATGCGTAACTCTTATAGATTGGGAAACATATGAGCCAACTGAATCAGATAATCCGTTAGCAAGAGAATCATGATTTTTTATGAGCTTGAATCATTTGTATAGTAAGTGCAGCTTGTATGTTTACTTAATGACATCAATAATTGCAGGTTCGTGCTACTCCCGGTCATACCGCGGGTTGTGTTACCTATGTCACGGGAGATGGACCTGATCAACCTCACCCAAGGATGGCTTTCACAGGAGATGCCCTGTTGATAAGGGGGTGTGGGAGGACAGATTTTCAGGTATAATGTCTCGAAGATGTTATCGTGCCTAGATGCAGTAGGACTGATGTATAGACATCCAATAGGGATCCTGCTCCCGGTTATCCATTTGTCTAGTCTTCTACATATCCATGCTTGCCTTGTTAGTGTGGCTGCACATACATGGTAGTGGCGATTTTTATCGTTCGCAAGCTTCATGGTAACTACTCGGTAATGGAATCATTGTTCCAAGGTTCAGTAGGCATTGACTGGTACAAATTAACTCTTTCTGCAGGGTGGAAGTTCAGAGCAACTCTACAAGTCGGTGCATTCACAGGTAAGGACATGGGATTTCTTATGGACCTTTCCCTTGAGTTCTCAAAATTTTCATGGAATCGTCGAAATCCGAATATAAAATATCGACATATTTGTTTCATGGTCCCAGATTTTCACATTGCCCAATGAGTCATTGCTATATCCAGCCCATGACTACAAAGGATTCACGGTAAGATTATAACTTAATTCTTCTCATTTCATAGACATATATAAATGATTATTGATTATATGAAACTCGTTGATTATAGGTAACCACCGTGGGAGAGGAGATGCTATATAATCCGCGCTTGACGAAGGATAAGGTATTCTTTCTAGCACAATCCATCGTCCCTTTTCTTGTTCGTTTTTATGAATTTGATGATGTTATTTGTTGAATACCCTTTTGCAGGAAACTTTCAGAAGCATCATGCAAAGTAAGTCGATGCTCAATCAATCCAGTCTGTAGGCGGTTTCGGATCACCGATTCTAATGTCTCTGTTTTCCTGTTGGTGCAACAGATCTTAACTTGGCATACCCTAAGATGATTGATGTTGCAGTGCCAGCAAATATGGTCTGTGGGTTGCAAGATTTGGAACCTAAAGCCAACTAAGGCTTTGCTGGAACATCCATAGGTGCACAGATTTTATTTGGAGAATGATTCTGGATACTGATATCAGTGGATATGCTAAATAAATGGCTAGACATGCCTATTTGATTGCAGAGAATCCCATGTATAAACATTATATAATGTTGTGAGCATGCAATATTGTCATCATTCCTACTGCATTTAAACTCGTCTTCTTAATTGTAAACCTGATAGGGATATTGGTAGGATTATTATTAATTGAAAAAAATCCTTAAAAATTTATAAATTTGAATTATAAAAAATTATAAATAAGGTATAATCGAGTTGAGCTAAGTTTGAGTAAAATACTCGCGATACTCATGATAATTATTAAGATGTCTAAATTCAAATCGAACCGAATAAATATTATTTTTAAATTGAACCGAATGAACTGAATCGAATAACTTGGTCTTACCAACAAAGATAATCTCATCCTTAATTACCATGTATTAAAATGTTAAACATGTCAATGTGCTAGGAATTAGGATAGGCACCAGGCTGCTTACTAAACCCGATCCTAACGCTCAAAGACCAATTTTTTTCCCTCTCTGGTTGATCGATTGATCGCCATTCACCATAACCAGATCCCATTTCCCAATCTAAACTTTCCCAAAGAAAAAAATAATCAGATAAATAGAAATGAATGATGAAGGGAGAAACAGAGGTTCAAGTGGAGATCAGCAGCAGCAAAACCAATATGGAACATTCCAAGGAGTCGCTAACTACCCTCCTCCACGTCCTCCACGGCCGCACCAGCCGCAGCAGCAACGTGGGTCAATGGGGTTGCCTCAGCCTTCTCCACCTCCCTCTTTCTCTACTCCTCAATATCAGCACCAAGGCTATCAGACCGCGCCGGGTATTCTACAATTTTTTTTTTCTTTTTTGAAAAAAAAAACTTTCTTTATGATTATTTAATCTCAATGAAGAATGTTGAGATTTGGGTTTTTGTTGGAAGGAAGGATACTGATGTTCTTTAAGATGAACGATCCAAGTTTTAGATGAAAATGTGCTTAAATATTAGGAATTCTATAGAAGAAGAAGAGAAATAAGTGCATGGATACATTAGCAATATTATTCCGATTTGGTTCTCTGATGAATGGAGTTTTTGTTTTAAGGGTGACCTGAATAGGGGTAGGATGATTTAAAGCTTTTGCTATTATAATATATTTATAAACAACAATTAATTTCTGATCATTGAAAACTTGGTTCTATCGACTGTCCTATGCAATGAAAAGCTTAGGTTGCTAAAATTCGTGGGAAGAGCTAGAATGATTTGCTTCATGGATATGTACAACTAGAATCTGTATAAGATTTCCCCATTGTGTGATTCAAGTTTGGTTTCTTGTATATAATTGTGTTGACAACAATTTTACATTATCTAAAATGATTGTTCTTCTGATTCAACAAAGCCTGTATTTTGTTGTAAAAAACTTCTTATTTTACCTGTGGATACCTCCATGATATCTTTGCTGTCAGGGTATACTGTTGCTGATGGAAGACCTGTAAGAGATGAGCTACCGTGCTGTGGCCTTGGCGTCGGATGGTTCTTGTAAGTTTACGACGTTTTCTTTGTTTGGAATGATTTTTTATTAGGAATCTGTGAGGTTAGTTAGTTTTGGTTTTACTTTATAGCACTGGATTTTGGAGGCTAGGAAGAAACTTATTAGTAGGATAATTATATCATAATCAGATTGTTGAGCTGGATGTTTGCCAATACAAAGATAAACTATACCACATTGGCATTCATACTTGAAATGACTGGAATTTAGTGCCAATCTGCTTAGCAGCCTCATGTAATACACTTGTGAAATGTTCATCTCAATTTAAGCTCCCATTTCCATGACAGTTGATAAGTACAGGTTGCTTCTACAAGTTTGCATGATGTTTATTGTTATATTGGTCATGATCTTCGGTATTCGTAGCTCCCATTTACATCTTTTATGAATAAAAATCTTTCTTATTTAATAAGAAAAGTATGCTGCTTTGAAGGTTTGTCATTGGTTTCTTCCTTGGGGCCGTTCCCTGGTATGCCGGAGTCGTTATTTTAGCCTTTTCAAGGATAGACTACCGAGAGAAACCCGGATATATCGCTTGCTCAATCGGCGTAAGTATCTTTATATACCGGTATCTTTGTTTATTTTCCTGTTTTATGGAAGCCACCCTGCTTTCAATCGGTTATCGATGTTTTTCGACTCTTCATTTTCCTTAAAGTATTCGTGTCCTACGAGGTACAGACCTACAAGGACCCTTGAAATCCGCAGAAAAAATTAACTTACTCGTATCAGACATATATTACTCTTATGGGACATATATCCACATCTGATATTAAAATCCGAACTCAACAAACCATGTTGGTTGGTTTTTGCAGGCCTTTCTTGCGACAATTGCACTCCTTGTTGGTCTAATAACGGAAGCTGAATGATGGTAAAGCAGAGTTTTTATCCCGATTGAGAGATGTATAGTTTTCAAAATAATGTGCAAGTCCTATTATTTTATCTCCAGTGAGTTGTCTTTTCTGCTAATTTACAACAAACAATTGGTTTCAAGCTTAATAATAATAATAAGATTTAACTTCAATTTCTTATTATATGTTGCATTCTGCGTGAATTCTGAACCTTGATGTGCCATAAAGAGTGGGGATTGATCAACCACCAAAGATGGTTCTGTCAGGGATTGGTTGATTTTTTTTTAAAATTTTAATTATCCTTTAATTTGATTAGAAAGAGATTGATTAATTGTATCAATTATCTAATTGAAATTAACAATAAATATTATATATTGTGTATCTTTTTTCATATTAGGCTTGGCTTTTGTTCCAATTTACAACAATGCACGTTTGTTAGTCGAAATTTTAATTGTATCAATTACTATTGTAATGTAATGGTTGCAATTAGTTACAAAACCTTTTTTTTAGAAAAGGGTGAAATATGCAAACAATCCTATTTGTTTAGTGTCTGTTTAACTTTGGTCACTACTTAAAAAATTAAGAATAAATAATCTCTAACTTTATCAATCCGTCTTATTTAAGTCCCTACACTGTCATAATTGAATGACAAAAATCAAAAGAGAGCTAATAGTTGGGTGATTAAAATTAAACGGATCGATAACGTTAGAGACTAAAATCAAATAAACCGATAACATTAAGAACCATGTACCCTTAGTGACCAAAATCAATCAAACCAAAAACAAAAAAAGACCATTCACATAATTTACCAAAAAATGAGTTACTGGTTTGAATTAAGGATTAAATTTGGAATTTTCATTAATCTAAAAAAACGATAATTTTTTTGAAGTATATATAAAATTTATCTGATTAATCAATCTCAATTGATCTTCTAATCTTTTCTCCTGTTAAATTTATGGAACTAACTAAAGTTTACGTGATAAAAATGGGCACTATTTAATTATAAACAATCTTGAGAAGTTATTTTTTTATTAAATAATTTAAAAATAATATACTTGGGTAAATTAGCCGGTAAAATTATCATTTGATAATAGTTTAGAATATGGAGAAGATGATTATTGAAAAGAATCAACGGTGGATATGAAACACAACTGCCCACCTTCCCCAAATCAATTTTGCAGGAAAATCTTTCGAACAGAGTGCACTGGAAAATTTGCACATCGTCGATACACACTATCCCTGCTCCGATCGAAACCCATCTCTAACAATGGATTGCAATATTAAGATAAAATGATTAACAATAATTTGGAAGATTTAGGGCAGTTTCTCCGAATTTAAACATGAGAAAATCAGAAAAGAAAACATGGAAATTCTTGAGGCTGCCCCATAAAAAAACTTAATCTAGGCCGGGTGAAATTGAGTAATCGCATTTATTTTTCAATCAGCAACAACTCATTTGGAACGGCCAATTCTTCAAAAGCCAAAAATAAAACCACGGAATGCAAACCTTTCTGAGAAACTTGCAAGAATAGAAGAAAATTACTTGCGAAAACGGAAAGGAATTATTTTAGGGTTTCGTATCTGCCGGCAACGGAACAAGAGCGACACTGCTTATTGTAAACTTCGCTCTGTTCTTTCAAAGGCAATTTGAAAACCCTAGATCCGCCTTCTTTCTTATTTATAGGTTGATTATTTCTCTCCTTTCTCCTTTTTGCCCCTTGAACTTTTCCTTTTCATTTTTCCCCAAAGGATGAATTCCACTTAACGTCCCTCAACTATGATAGTAATTATATATTTATATATAAACTTCAAAACATCATAATCAAGTCCCCAAGACATCTATATTGTATCAATCACATCCTTTTATCAGTCTAGAAATCAATTTAGATATTAAATTCCAACTTAGATCTAATATGAAATATATTTGAAATATGAAAATCAGAATTTAAATATGTGTTTCAATTTTGCATGAGATTCATAACATCTTTACTAGTAATAATGTTTAAAGTTTTTTATACAAATCTTTAAAAAATATTATGATTAATTGTCTTTATAATATTGAATTTCTTAAAAAATGATTAGAATTTTAGTGTTTATGTTCAGTAATTGTTGTTAGTGTGAATTTTGTTTGAATTGTGTTTGGCATATTATATTTTCATAACATACTAAAGGTTAGAAATCGAATTCATTGAGTGGACTCAGTGGTTAAAAGAAGTGTTGTTATCTATTAAGGTCATGAATTTGAGCAGTTGTGTCTGTAAGGTGTGTGTTGTCAATGATTAAAAAAATCATGAATAGATATTACTTTGTAACCACTCCACAATAATAAAAAACTTTTAATTTTACAAATAAATTCAAAATCAATTTGTACTTTATATATAAATTTAAACACACGTAGAACTGCTCGAACCACACCATGTCCACTCATAAGCTCAGCTAGTCATAAATGCAGTTAGCATAACCTGCACAAAACACAACACAACATAAATTTTAGCACATCAAGGGAAAGAGGAAAAGCAATGGCAACGTTTCTCTCTAGATCCATCATTTAGAATTGGTGATGTTCTGAATAGAAAGGTGATGATCTTAAGCAATTTAATTTTTCTAAAATGGACCAAGAGTCGTAATTGATGATTTAGAGAACGTTATGATTCTTCCCTCAATTTAAAAAGGATGAATCGTCAAAGACCATTATCTTCCTACTTAGATCGTCAACCAAAAGCATTGGATTTCAAGTATGTGACTTACTTGGATTACTGGTGACAATAAGACCCGAGCCTCTAAAATCACACTCACACTCGGTTCTTCCCTTGGCCTGGTAGTAAAGATTCATGGCAATGGAAGCATGGTTCATCAGATTATCAGGGCTGAAACAAGGACAATCCTTTTGCATTACACGGCAATCCACTTGAGAACATGCAAAATTAATGTTTGCCAGTAGAGTTGCTTGGTCCGATGATGGCTTAGCCACACACCAACTTTTCTGCAATTTTTTTAACCCATTTCAACAATCAGTAACAATAACATTTTCACCTCAGTTTCTGAGTTTACAAGGTCTAAAAACTTGGTTGACGTGTAATTTACCTGCCCATTTACCATCATCAAAGTTCCACCTACACAAGAACATTAGAAACCAAGAAAGCTTAATGAACTAGCAACAACAGTCAGCAGCAATTAATATGATTGAAAATCCAACAGTCTGAAACCTTGGAGAATATTAGTACAGTAACTAAATAAACTACCTGGAATGAAGCAAAAGAGCAGGTAAAGGAGAGAGAGAACAGCAGATACTTTAGCCATTGGAACTTGACAGGCTGTACTTGAAAATATGAAAGGTCGATTGTTAACTGGAATCGAAATGATGGTGGTTTTGATCGAGTTAAAAGCAGGGGGAAGCTGAGGGTTTTAAAGGGTGAGTGATTGAAAAATGTCAAGCTAACGGCTAGTCGGCGCGTTTAATGAAGAGCCGTTGGGGGTTCTTTTAATTATTGTACTTTTGAATTATTCAAATAGTTTGATATGAACCTACACTCAAATTAAATTTGTGCAACTCTATATCACATTATATAAACGAAAGATTAATGTTTTCAACCTCAACAACAGGTGATATAAGAGGGTGTGTGTAAGCACATACAGTGTAAATTTTTTTAGAGATGAAAATTCATAAACCCACGTAATAAATATATATTTAAAAAATAATAAATATTTATTGAATTAAAAAATGTTGTTTAAAAAATTATCTTCAACTGAAATAAAACACTTTATAATTTTATTGAAATCATTAACTCAAAGAAGATGAATAATTCAAAGCATATTAACATCAAAGAGGAAAAAATACATAATTTTTTTTTGTTTTTAAAATAAAAATGACAAAAGAAAATGGATGTTAATTGTTTTTAATAAATAATGTTTAATTGGTTTTCAAATTCTAAATTAATATACATATTTTTTTAGGCAACCAATTTTTTTATTTAAGAGAGATATTATATTTCTAATACAAATATCGAGATTCGAATCTAAACTAGATGAAATAATATGAGTATCTTTGATTATTCGATCAATTAATAGATCTCTGAAAAAATGTTTTCAAAAAATCTATAACAGATATCCGAAGGCTCAATCGCGACAACGGAAGGGAAAAAGAGTGCTCAAAATTTTATTAACCATGACCAGCCAGTCAAGAAATAAAAAAAATTAACATTATAATTTTATATTTTGTACTCTAAAAAAGAGTGTTAGAAGTATCTCGGATGATTCATATTATTGGTACAAAAAAACACAAGTGAAACTAAATTGGCTACGCTCGGTGGGATTTGGACCCATGCACTAAGATGTTAATCAACAACCGTCTACTTTCACCTCTTCCTCTTTCACGATCAGTCAACAGGGGAAAGAAATGATAAAAAATGATGAGTAATCTAAGAACAACATTAAAAATCGGTTACAGATTTCTCAGACATTGATCTGCTCCAACATTTTGACAACCTCAGCCATGTTGGTCTCTTGGGGGGATCAGTTTGCAGGCACATCAATGCTATATTGAATGTAACGTTAATCTCATCACCAGGACAACAACCTAGGTTACTGTCGACCACATATTCTTGCTTCCTTTCTTCAACAACTCCCTTTACCTGTTGCAATATTTGCACAATGATCGACACTCTGAATGAAATCAAAGAAACCGGACCAGAGAGATTCGGTGAAATCGATGATCGATCCGGTTTTTTTTATGTTGATCCTTGAACTAAAAGTTGATGAAACTAGAAAAAGTTACCCATGTTACAAGCTTTGTTCCTTCCTCAAGAAATGCTTCATCCATTGGTTTCTTTCCGGTTAAAAGTTCAAGCAAAACAACTCCAAAACTATAAACATCACCCTTTGCCGTTGCTCTTCCCGTATCGAAATATTCTGCAGAAAAAGAGAGGCAGTTTTAGTATAATCATCAAGCAATCAAATAGATAAGATGAGAAGAATGTCTGCAAATGTTGTTTTTGTCATGAACCTGGGGCTAAATATCCAAAGGTTCCGGCAACAAATGTTGAAACATGAGTCTTGTCTGGTTCCATCAATGTGGCTAGCCCGAAATCGGAGACTCGAGCCTCCATGTTCTGGTCCAGTAATATGTTGCTCGACTTTATATCCATATGGATTATATGAGGGATACAATCATGGTGAAGATATCCTATTCCTCTTGCAGCACCTAATGCTATTTTAGACCTCGTTGGCCAATCCAAAATCTTATTGTCCATTGATTTACCTGCATCACGGTTTAATCCAACATTTTCATCAAATTAAACCCCATAAAAAGTGAAGAAATAATGTGTGCATACCATGAAGAACAGAATACAAACTTCCATTAGGCATCAGCTCATAGATAAGAAGATTGTAGTGAGGATTGGTGTAATATCCGTGGAGAGTAACGATGTTGCGGTGCTTGATATCGGCCATGGCTTCCAATTCTCTCTCGAATCCTGTATCTCTATCTGTAGTTCCTCTGTTAAGCCTTTTGACAGCGAAGGCCAAGGTTTCGTTTATCATTAACCTGTAAACGGTTCCGTACCCACCGGCGCCGATGATGTCGTTGTTGGTTAATTTCAATGTGCTCTTTAAGAACACATCAAATGTTAGTGACTGCAACAATGGGGATCTGAATATCACCATCTTCCCACCTGAGAAGCCTTGCTCATAAATGGCGTTCTTTCTTTTCCATCGCTTGTAAAGTAGGATCATAAGAACGATCTTCGATATGATGAAGCCTGTGCAGGATATGGTGATGTAAAAGGCTATTCCCAGATCATTTGTCATTTTTATCTCTGCAACAACTTGAAAATTGGAAGTTAAAATCACCATTGATATCAACTAAGGTGCATGAAGAAGCAAACACATCAAAAAAGTGAAGATAAAAATGGCAAACTAAAATGAGTTTATGGCTATAAATTTCTGTTAAACTCTGCAATTTCATCCTTACCAACAACATCTCCCTATAGTTAAGAGCTAGCTGGGTAGCTACTTACACAGTAACTGTCAATCATTGTTATAAGTCAACATATTGGAACATGGCAGAGTGAAAAATATACGGAAAATGTGAAGTAATTGAAACTTGCCAGTTGCCACAACTTGTAATGGAGCATCAGTTACCGACACACGAAAAGTAAAAATGGGGTTTGATTTGTGTATTCAACACTTTCCTGTGTTTTTCTTTGACATTTAAGTTTGTTGCATGCCAAACACCATCACTTTCTGGTGGAGTAAAAGGCTAATTTTCTCAAGAATTTGGAATGGCCATGTCATATGTGGCAGTCATTGACATGACAACACGTGTCCGAAATCTTGCATGATTCATGTGTGGAGACAGATTTTAGGCTTCTTTTGTTTTAGTCATCACTCGTCATTGAGCTTCTTCTCCAAGGCATCATCATCATCCCTCTGTACAAAATTCTAACCAATCACTGGAAAAAGCAGCAAATGTAAAACTGGGTTTAGCCAAACTGGGAAGAGAAGCTAAGATCAAAGAAAAGGGTTTGAAAAAGGCAGAAGGAATGATCATGTGAAAGTGTGTGCTGTCACCATGGATTTTGCACCACGTGTCCTTCACTATTTATGTGGGGGAGTTGGGAATTTCCATTTTAAGCCAATAGGATGTATTTTCCATCTGTTCTTGATGAAAGAAAGTAAATGCATTGCTGTCAAGGCAAAGGGTTATGTGCTTTTTGCTGCTCAACTTTTGATCCATGAAAGCCTGCTTTTTCTCAGTCAATTTCACATTGTAGGTTTGGCTAGGACTGCAAAAGGTCAAATGTTTGTATTTTCATAGAGACAATTGCATAAACATTTTATATCAATCCTCAATACTCCATTTTAATTTAATTGTTTTATATTAATTTTAAAATTATTAGAATCATTTTATTTTAATCAGTTTATTAAAATATCATTAAATCAACTTGTTTTTAAAAGGTTTAATACACTTTTAAGTACTTAAACTATACCTCAAATTGATTTTTGGTACCTAAAGAATTTTTCGTTAAAAATAAGTGTATAACATTTCTAACGTTATACTTTTAGGTGTCTGAACCGTAATGACCGTTAAATTTAAACGTTATCTGAATGTCATGTATATAAAATTTCATAAAAAATATTTTTTTAAAAATTAATATTATAATTTAAAAAACCCAAAATTTATTGTTTTCACCGTTGATCGATCACCGTCAGTCTGTGGCCTTCACTATTGACATCATCCGAATCTTCTCGTCGTCACGACCAAAATCCAGTCCCCCACCCATTGAGAAACTGTGTCGATCGTCGTGAAAAACACTGTGAAGGGTCGTCGGATTTCTAAGTTCTCCTTCGTTGTTTTCCGACGATTTTGACGACTACAACTAGCCGTACATGACCGCCACCATTGAGTTCCTCGCATTGCTCTGAACAAAATCTAGCCGATGGTGACCCTTTATTATCGTGGGAAGTGGGGAGATGGAAGGAAAAGGGATGACGAGGAGGGTTTTTTAAAAATAATATTTTATTATTAAAAAAATATAACGGTAGACACCCTAAAGTGTAACGGAGAAAACGTTAGACACCTATTTTTAAAGAAAAAATCTTTAGACACCAAAAATTAATTTAAGGTATAATTTAGATACTTAAAAGTGTATTAAGTCTTTTTAAAAGTCTCAAGAATTAAACCTATAATCTAAAAATTTAATCTATTTTTAATATTCTAGAAATCAAACATATAACTTTTTAAAACTAATTTAATTTATTTTTAAAGATCTTAGAATTTTTGTTATCACATATTCAATTTTAGAACCTTTATAATATGAGAACATCATGTACAATAATATCTTTTTATAACTATTCATTTGTATTTATATAGCTATTTCAAAATCTAAATTTATTCTCAAGTGTTTTATTATTCCAATATGTGTTGGATAATATCTGAGTAAAACACTCAAATATCGTTTAACTTTGATTTGTATTCTGATTTTATCATTAAATTTTAAAACTCATCATTTTTATCATTAAATATTAATTTTGAATTTAATTAAAATACTAAACCATTAAATCATTAATAGTATAATGATAAGACAATTTAATACTGGCATGTGTTGATGTAGAAACTAAAAAAATAACTTTTCATTTATTCTCATATTTTTTATCAAGTATATTTTTAATTGTTGTCGGAAATTACAATTCTTTAAGTTTTTTACAGTCATTTTAGATATCGATGAACTCGTCTTATCGTCCCTTAACATTTTATTTGTGTTGATTTTCTCAAAATATCTTTAAAACTTACGAAATTAAACATGAAAAATCTGCAATTTTTGGATTTTCTCATATTTGAGGGGTTTATTCGAAAATCGAATGGTGAGGAACATTATTATAAGAAGACGGACAACATACTTCGAAACTAGTATCACCAAACGATCGTCAAAAAATATCTGAGCATTAAAACATCAAACTTTTAAGTTATTTTTGTCGAATTTGAGTGAGTTTTGTGAAAAATCGGTTCGAGAAAAAAAATGAATGAAATATGAATATTTTGGTATTAATTTTGTGACGGACGGTGATTAATTGACTGCAACAGTCGAAAGAATTGACGATAAATTTAGTGACAAAATTGTTATGAAAACTAAAGTTTATTGAGAAAAACCGACAATCTCGTCATATAATTCAACTGTACAATACTTATATTAAATCCAAAATTAAACGAAAAGAAATCAAAATGCAAAGTTTTGAAATTGCCATAACTTTACAACAATGTATACCTTGAGCAAGGCAAAAATCAGTGCTGATCCTATTCCCAAGTTGCCTTTGGAATGATGCTTTGACGATCAGCAATAACTTCAGGCATATGGGATATCTTCAACCACTCTGGTCCCTGATTCATTATGAGTTGAGCTAGTAGCGATATATGACACCTTCGAATATATAGCTTCCAAACCGAAAGAAGCACATCTTTTTCCGGCAGAGATTCGATTTCAGGGCAATCGAGCAGCCACAATTCTCGAAGAGAGTCCACATTTCGAAACCCCGTCGTGGATAAGCTTCTCAGGTTTTCGAAATTGATAATGGTGATACCAGTGAGAGTGGGAGGCAGCACACAACCTTCTGGTGGAAATGTCACCACATGTGAACATTCCTGGCCATCGATGAAGAGTTCTTTAAGAGAAGTGAGTTTATGCAGTCCCCATTTAAGCAGTGAGTGACAAAGTTTAGGCACTGTGATCGAAATCGATGTTAGAGATGTAGGAAGACCTTCTTCTGGAAATGGCAAGTCAGGTGAGCAATCATACAGTGACAGTTTCTTCAGAGAAGTGAGTTTATGCACGTTGGGAAGGTCTGCCAAACTTTGACAGCCACTAATCCAAAGGGATTCGAGCTTTCGGGTCGGTAAACCACTCGCTGTCAAAGAAACCAGATTTTGACACAGCAAAATATTGATCTTCTCAACATGGTTGAGCTTGTTTAACCCTTGAGGTAAAGATTTAAAGTTCCCACACCTACAGATTTCAAGAAGTTCAAGAGAAGATGTTTCGTGGATTGCTTGCACAATAGATTCCAGTCCAAGGCAATCCTTAACCAATAGCTGTTTAAGCCCCGAGGGTAACTCGCCACTTGATGATAAGGAAGTAAGCCTCGAACAATTTGCAACCATGAGAATTTGGAGCCTAATGGGCAATGATAAAGATACTAAAAGTGGACAGACCATGATTTCCAAGTGTTCAAGAGAACATGTATTACTGATGGTGGTATTTTCTCCTTGATCCACTAAACACTGCAAATTTGTGCAACCTATAATCACTAACCTCTTTAGAGCCGGGGGTAAGTTGTTCATTGAAATCAAAACCAAGGACCGGCACCCTTTGATTTGCATCTCGGTTAGAAATGTGAGGAAATGCAGGTCTTGTGGCAGCCTATGGAGCTTTTCGAAGTTTGCTATTGTCAAGGACTCAATATTGCTAGCCTTCTCAAGTTGCAACTGCCGTTCTTCAAACTCGATCTCCGTAAAACTCGACATTTCCAGACTACGGAGAGACCTCAAGTCCCGGACTGATGCGAACTGCTCCCATGGCAAGGACACCAAATTGTTACAGCTACTAATACTCAGATGCTCCAGGTTGCTTAGGCCTGACACCAGCTTCTCAGTTAGGGGAGAAAGCTTGGAAATATTCGAAAGAGAAACTTTTCTCAATGGGGGGAAGTCTGCAACATCGCTAAGCACCAACTCCTTACAGCCATCTATTTCTATGTCATACAGCAGAGGGAGGTTTGAAACCGAAACGACCAATTGTTTACATTGGCGAATTACAAGTATCTCTAATGAACAGAGAGAGTTCGGAAACCTTCCCGATAATTGAGGACAGTTTACGATACAAAACTCGCACAGGTGGGGAAACTTTGCAACTTGCTTATCAACTTCATCAAAGTCCCATTCCTTCCAGTTCAACATATCCTTAAAGCATAACGTCTCCAATGATGCGAATGTGTTCGGTTGGTTCTCACCGAAGAACTCAATACCAACCTTAGTCACCTCATGCATTCCCCTGATACAAAGATCTTTCAGCAGCGGCAGGTTTCCAACTGATGGCAGGGATTCGCAATTTCTGCAGTTGTTGAGGTCCAAAGACCACAAGTTTTTAAATGAAGAATCTGCAATCCAACTCGGAAACTTCGTACCACCATAATTCTCTACGACGATCACTTTAAGATCTCTGTGAGGTTCAAGCATTTTCAACAACTCTTCTTCAACTGTTTTATCTCTTTTACCATTGTCAAAATTGGTGCTCCACATCAGCCGTAACACATCAAGGCCGGGTTTGTCAATTAACTTAGCTTCCAAGGCATCTTGAGTTTCAACAATGTTCTCCAACCCCGAAAGACAAAGATCACCCTTAAGATGTAAATTCCTCAATTCTCGTATTCGACGTCCATCACCAGCTCCCAGAATAAAATCCGACAGCCGCCGAAGATCGGTCAGTTTACAAATTAGTAAGGGCATTGATTTCATCTTTACACCACTGATATCAAGATGATTCAAGTTTACTAGGAGGTCTATTTCCTTGGGTAACCACTCTAACCGGCTCTCCTTTAATAGTAAGGTTTCCAAATTATAAAGGGTGCATACTGAAGCAGGCAAACTTTTGATTAAAGTGTGAGAGAAATTTAGGTAGCGTAACTGTACCAAATTTTCGAATACATCCGGTAACACTGTGATGCAATACCCTTTCAAAGAAAGCACCCTTAAGCATCGAAGTTTTGGCAACAAATCGACAAGGACAGTGTTGGTTATGCAGCAAGTCTCATCTCTTGGCAGCATAAATGGTAGAAAGGTTCGCAAGCGTTTCATGTGATCAAACGCTGCAAATTTGTCCACTCCATCGTACGAGCCACAAACATAAGATGAATGCCGAGTGTCGTTTGGTATTTTCGGCTGTTTATCCTCCTCCAATTTCAAGCATATTTCTCCTGAAACCAACTGAGCTAGATCGTTGATTAGATCATGCATTACAAACCGGTATTTATCCTGAACTGAAGTCTGAAAAAATGACCTCGATACTAGATCTCGAAAGTATCTGCTACCAAGATCTTCAATGTGAGTTTTCGAGTTGGTTTGTTGCAGGAAACCTTCTGCTTTCCATAACAAGATTATCTCCTCCTCTTCGAATTCATAGTCTTTAGGAACTAAAGAGCAGTATGCAAAGCATCGCTTCAAATATGATGGAAGATAATGATAGCTTAACAACAGAGCCGGAATAACACTGCATCGCTCTTCCGGTAAATCCCATATCTCACTCTCTGATACATCTTTCCATACTCCATACTCCACACGAGTGCCTAGTAAGCTACCGATGACTTTAGCTGCCAAAGGTAAACCATTGCACTTATTCACTATGTTTTTCCCAACCTTCTCCAATTCTTGATGCCCACTAAAATCACTAGCTTTCAATGCATGATGAGTAAACACGGAGAGACAATCTCCATATGATAAATTCTGCAATAAGTAAGCTTTAGCATTTCCAACAACCGGAGAAACATCGCAACTCCTTGATATCAAAATAACTTTTGTTCCAACACCGAATGGCTTTAACAAGACAACCAAATCATCGTAATTCTCGTTCCGAACATTATCCAACACAAGTAAAAAGTGTTTTCCGAACAACTTACCCTTCAAAATGGCTTGAAGATTATCTAGAGTGGGAACTATACAAGACAGATTAAAAATCGACTGCAAAATGTTCTTCGTAGCCAAGGTGACATCGAAATCCTTCGTAACACGTATCCAGAACCTGTGATTGAAAGACTTCTTTACGTTATCATCAGAATAAACAAGTCGAGCAAGAGTTGTCTTGCCAATGCCACCAAACCCAAATATGTGAATCATCAGAGCTTCATTCTCATTCCTATGATTCCCCAATAGCAATTCAAGTATTTCCGCCTTCTCCTTCTCCCTACCAAAAACATGAGTTTTTTCACCCACCAAAGACGTTAATTGCAGGCTTGATTTCACTCTATTAGAAATTGCAGTTTCATCAATCTCTCTCAAACCCAATCTAGCTTTCGCTCTTGCCAAACCATTAAGTTCATCACTGATCTCTTCTAACTTGGAAATCATCTTCTTATTAAACGTGAAAGCTCTTGAATTAATGAAACTATTAAACCAAGAAGCAATGGGTTTTTGAGCCTTACTCGAGTTGGCTTCATCTTCATGCGACTTTCGATGTAAAGCCTCGACTGCAAATTCATCCAAAGCATCGCCCACATCGTAACCCAAGTTTTGGAGCTTCGTCAACCAAATCTCCACATTGGGATCTTTCATTTGCTTCTCCTCTGCATCATTAAGCACTGCTTGAATACTTGGCAATATCTTTTGCCACTCCTTGAGTTGCCTGATGACCTGCTTTTCGGTGACGAAGTTGAGGATCTGATCGTAAGAAGCCAGTTTAGCAAAAAACTCCAGGAAGACTGAAACTGCAGTTTCTCCACCAGCAATGGACATGGTTGAATGTGAGAAACAAAAGAGTAGAGAGAAGAAAGTCAATAATGGTTATGGTTTCTCCACCTGCAAATGATCCGTGAAAGCTTAAGTGCAGCTTATTGTTGAGTATCAAATTTTCAAATCTAACTTAATTATGAAGTATTGATTAGGAACGTTGAATTTCTAAATGATTCCATGTGATTGCTGGAGGTCAACGATTATGGTTAAATATAATATATTTCTTTGAGAAAAAAAAGAATATTTCAAGATCAAATTTTTTTACATGGATTAAATTGATCTATTTTATAATAAAAGAGACTAATCTGAACCAATCTCTGTAATTGATGAACTAAATCGATACAATCCTTATAATAAAAAGGATCTAACAAATACTTTGAGTAGCATGGTTAGTTAAAAATATAGTCCCCATTCCTTGCCACCGAAGCCACCAACTCTCCTTTTACATTAGACAATCTATATAATCTAGGAAACACTGCTCTTAATGGTTTAACGCCACACCAGCAGTTCTCCCAAAAAAGAACCGAATTCCCATCTCCAATCTGCCACCTAAAAGCTTCAAAATTCATCCAGCTATCAACTTCGCTCTTACTCCAATTATTGATTATCCCTCTCCAAACAAGCGACATTTCCTTCCGCATTCCAAGACTTCCTCAGTTCCTCTTTGCTTGGAGATACATGAGCTCCATTACATCAGGTCCGCTACTTATGCTGGGAAGTGCACATGGTATAGTCTGATATATTATTAATTAATTATGAAATTATTGTGATGAGAGAGAGATATAGTTAATAAATAATACGATATGTTAATGTTTTGTATTATTATTTTTTAATTTGCAATAAAATGCGTTCATACTTTACTTGTTTATACCATGCCAAGTCAAACTAATTATTTGTAGTTTTAGAATGTTATTATTCACAAATTTAATATATTATTATCGTTGAAATTTATTTTAAATGTTATATTGATTACTTAAAATTATTAAAATCTTTAGGATGATAGGTCGAACAATAAGTTTTGATAAGTATATATAAACAATGTTATTAAAACCTATATATTATTAAAGGCAAAAGGGTAATTTTTGTTCATGTAATAGACCCAATTTATCATTTTTGGCTCAGTTATATTTTCGCATCAATTTAACCCTCGAAGTTGCTCAATTGCATAATTCTATACCCTACCCCTCACTTAAAACCTTAAATTAAGGGTTTTAAATTAGAGGTTAAGGTTTAGGCTTTAGATGTTATATGTTATGATTTAGGGTTTAGAGTTGTCAATTTAAGGTTTTAAGTTAGGGGTAACATATAGAATGATACAATTAAACGACTTTGAAGGCTAAGTTGATGCGAAAATACGATAAGAGCGAAAATGATAAATTAGATCTACTGCAGGAGTAGAGATGACCCTTAAGCCATTATTAAACGTCTATAAGATACAAAGGAATCTGTTTTCATTTATATTATTAAAACTTACCTCGACTCATTGCTTCAATATTTTGGTTTCTGATATAGAGTTGGAGCATTTTGTTTGAAGCGAAGCGAGTTTACATCTTAATCTTAAGTGGTAAGTTTAACCTTTTCATCATAGTTTTCTCTTTCTTTTTTGGTTGGCGATAAGTGTATACTGCCTAGGCTAAGCGTTAAATCATTTCAGATTAAAAGCAATGGCCGAAGGATTCTTTCTATCTGTTGCTTCTAATTCCGTGGGATCACTGATGGTGGACCATCTGGTAAGGCCAATAGTACAGACAAAGAAAAAATTCAAATCAAAATTGCAGATGTCGTACACTTAAAGTTTGAGAAAAAGACTGAAGAAGAAAAGCAGCAGAGTTGTGGAGTAGAATACAAGACGGAAAATTCCTCATAATCCCTTGATGATTTGTGGAACGACGATACCGACTTGAAAAAGATTGGCATTCCGTTGGATGAAAATGGAAAAGGTTGCACACTCATTTTGACTACACGTCGCAGGACAGTATGCGAATCTATAAAATGTCAAGTTACTATTCTAATTGATGTTTTGGATGATGATGAAGCATGGACTCTGTTCAGAATGAGAGCTGAGCTTGATGAAACAGCTTCAAGGGATACCGAAGAAAGTTGCAGAAGAATGTAAGGGTCTACCTATTGCAATCGTACCGCTAGCAAGTGTTCAAAAAGGTACTAAGACTCGTAAAGAATGAGAATTATGCTAAAGGCGTCCGAAGAAAAGAGTATAATCCCACCGTTATGGACTATGACATATCATCAACCTTAATTGTTGTTTAATTAGTGGTCTAATTTTTCAAATCAAGTTCAAATTATTATGTTTTATTAGTTTAGGGTGATTCTAAGATAATATATGTTCAGAATCTTTATTAATTATTAAAAATACATACACTTTACGACACAGTTGTTTAAACTTAAAATCTCTAATAATAACGATATTACTCTTAATTATTGAAGTAATTTAATGAATTTTATTATTTTTTAATTTAAGATGATGATAAAGTTTTAGCATTCACCGACTAATGAAAAAAAATTATATTCTCTTTTTAAAGTTCCGAACTGGAAAAAGGAAAACGGTAGGAAAACATATTTGATAGAGTATTTAATATCAGTGGATATAAAGAGTTCCTTCCACGTAAAATACATTTAAAATAAGGAAAAGAACCAAAAAAAAATCACCAAAAAGGCACACTTTTATATTTTATTTCGTTCACTGCCAATCTTCATTGTTTTTTTCTCTTCATAATCTAGCTTTCCTTGAGATCCAAGAGAAACTCATTAGAGTTCTCTTTTAACTTTATCTAACATATCTTGTAGATTTTTAAAAGACCCAGAATTTTGGAACTTCTAAAGTTTTCATTCGAGGAAGAAGACAAAAGCCAAATAAGGCTTAGCCTTGAGTGGAAGGCAGTAACAAGTAGGTCTAGGTGGGTGGCGAATGAGGCTGATTTTCTCTTTCTAGTCTGCTTTTGTTTGGCTGCCTTGAAAATACTTTTTTTTTTCTGGGTATTTTCTGTTTACTGAGGGGGAACTATTGAAGGAAGAATAGAACTTCTTGGTATTTCATTTATTGAAGAAAAGATACAGCAAAATCGGTTGAAGAAGGGTAGTTTCTTTCTTCTTTTTGTATACAATTTATCAGTTTGTTTTCTTTAACTTCAAAGTTTTAGGAATTATAAGATATTGATGTGTTTTCTTGTCTTAATAATACCTGTTGTGTAAGGAACTAACTTTAAGTGGCGGCTTTTAATCTGTTGTGTTAATTCAATCATGATAGTGATTAGTATTGTAAATGTTTCTTGAAGAATGAAGATTATTCTCTTTTCACTGTTTGTGATTCCTGTACATATGTTTTCACTTGTTCTCCTATAGCATGATAAAGATGGATTGTAATATTTTTTTGGATTCATTTGATCTTGCTTTATTTACTAAAGTTGGCATTGATTTCCTTTTTAGTTATGCTGGAGAACATTCCAAAAACCAAATCGATTTGAATAGATTCTATGTTTGATTTTTTACTAATAGAAACTGTCAAGCTAAGTGCAACATTTAGAACCTGATTGTGTTCCCCCAAAAGACCGTCTTAAACACAGTTCATTTGTTTCAAGTTCCGAATGAGATCATGCTCATCTTTTCAGGTCAAACTTGATTTTTAACTTAAGTTTGCTTAAACCTAGAGGTTTTGGGTGGGGGGCATGTGCATTATTGTTTGTTGTTATTCAACCATACATGTTTCTGATTTTTTTTTTCTCTTCATTTTTCAGGATCTAAAAGAGATAGAGTTTTTCACTGAATATGGGGATGCAAGCAGGTATAAGATTCTTGAAGTTATTGGAAAGGGAAGCTATGGAGTTGTTTGTGCAGCGCTTGACACGCATACTGGGGACAAAGTAGCTATAAAGAAAATACAGGATGTATTTGAGCATGCATCTGATGCTATAAGGATTTTACGAGAAGTCTCAGACTTCTTAGACATCCTGATATAGTAGAAATTAAGCGAATAATGTTGCCACCGTCAAAGAGGGAGTTCAAAGACATACTTGTTGTTCTTGAGCTCATGGAGTCTGATCTTCACCAAGTCATAAAAGCTAATGATGATTTAACGCATGAACACCCAGTTTTTCCTTTACCAAATGCTACGTGCGATGAAATACATGCATACAAGTAAAATATTGACTTTCTTATGTGTTTATAGTGTCCTGATGCATTGGTCATTGGTTTTTGGGTTGTTAGCCATATATTATCTAGCTTTTTGTACCATTCTTGATGAGAGGTGGAAGCTCCTCTCTCTAATTAATTTTTTTTCTTCTTTGCCTCAATTTTTGTTACCTACAAATTGTTTCCTTACATGCTTTGATAGATGAGAAATCGGTTTTGATAGGGAGCTTAATGTAATTGCAAATTTATACTGATTGCTACAATTTGGTTGCAGCTAATGTGTACCACCATGACCTTAAACTGAAGAATATATTGGCAAATGCAAATTGCAAACTTAAAATTTGTGACTTTGGGCTAGCAAGAGTTGCATTCGGTGATGCCCCGACCACAGTCTTTTGGACAATATGTAATTTCTTACACTTCAATTTTTTCCAACTTAAAGAAGAGGTAATATGCATATTTATATTTTATTTTCTGATGTTCCTTGCAGGACTACGTTGCTACACGATGGTACAGGGCTCCTGAGCTTTGCGGGTCTTTTTCTTCTAATGTATGGGTTTTGTCATTGACTCATTTATGGCCTTTAGTTATTCTCTTCCAATGTGAAGGGCAACATGGTGAAGCATGATATATGGTAGTATCACGGCCTAAAAGCTTGGCATAGAATTGTTATTTGCCTATCTGGTACTCTCAGTCAAGGTTGAGAACCGTGTAGGTATCCTAGTTCACTTATGAGTTCAGTATGCTCATTGAGTTTGTCTTGTTTGAGATATATCATGCATGGCAAATTGTAACATTTTCATTACATGAGTAATACTCGAATGCTTTTTACCAAGCAGTAATGCCTAGATTAAAATAATTGCTGTTCAGGGAAGACTTTGAACCCTCCTGGAAGTTGAAATATCTGTCGTTCAGGTAATTGTGTCGGGTTTTGTCTGTTTCTCTTTAGTGCTTTACTTGGGGTGTGACTTCAATTCTATGTATATATTAAGGGTCTAATTTTTGTTGGCAACTGCCGTGCAGTATACACCTGCTATTGATATTTGGAGCATCGGCTGCATCTTTGCTGAGGTATTGGCAGGGAAGCCCCTATTTCCTGGAAAAAGTGTTGTTCATCAATTAGAATTGATCACCGATCATTTGGGGACACCTTCAGCAGAAACCTTTTCTGGAGTACGGCATCTTATTCCTTTTGTGTGTGTGTGTTGTTTTCTCGGGGGACTACTTTACTATTCTTTTCTGTTATTTGCTACGGCGAATTGATGATATTTGTTTTACATAATTACAGGTTCGAAATGACAAAGCAAGAAAATACTTGATGGAAATGCAGAAGAAACAGCCTGTTCCATTTTCAAAGAAGTTCCCTAATGCAGATCCCTTAGCAGTGCGGCTATTGCAGAGGCTGTTAGCATTTGATCCCAAGGACTGACCAACTGCTGAGCAGGTGTGTTTTCTTATCTTTTGTGTCGGAATGAATGGAGCTTTCTCATGCATGTCTATATCGTGTCTAAAAGTTTCATCCTCTTTTAGATTCATCATACTGAAACCTTCTCGCATTAATGTAACAGGCTTTAGCTGACCCTTACTTCAAAGGCTTGGCTAAAATCGAGAGGGAACCTTCTTGCCAGCCAATCTCAAAGGTAGAGTTTGAGTTTAAGAGGCGAAGGTTGCAAAGGAGGACATTAGGGAATTGCTCTACAGGGAGATACTGGAATATCATCCTCAGCTGCTCAAAGACTATATAAATGGAAAAAAGACCCAATTTTCTCTATCCAAGGTTTGAATACTCCCTAATTACCTAATGTTCCTACAATAGATTTTAATACGTCATAGCTTGTATTTAATCAACGTGATTATATTGTGGTTTATCTAATTGCAGTGCCCTTGGTCAATTCAGAAATAGTTTGCATATCTCGAGGAAAACGGTGGTAGAAGTGCCCCGGTTTTCCCTTTGGAGAGGAAGCATGCCTCCCTTCCAAGGTATTACACATTTCAAACAACCCGGTTTCCAACGCATGAATATAGTCTGTTAGATATGTTAATTATGATATTTCTTAAGCTGTTTTGAGATGGGGGCAAGGGAAATCATGGACTCATTTATGTTTCTCATTTTTCATGAATTTCCCACCAGTTTAATGACAACATACTGCCTTTTCTCGCCCTCTCGAGATGAAAATTTATAACTTGTACTCTGTTTTATTGCAAGTCTACAGTTCATTGGAATACCGTCCTTCCAAATACACATTCAACTTCAGTTTCGTGCGAGAATCAATTGGTTAAAGACGAGGCTTCCAAAAAGGAAACAGATACCATTGCTGGTAATCCAAAGACCGCACGGTCACTGCGTAGGGTGCCACTGCCAACAGGTAGGACTGATTCTGTTCTGCGTCTACCTAAGGTTTCTTCTGGTTAAGCAACCATTTTTCATACTAAAAACTACCGAACCTTAGGTTGCAGCTTGGTCTGTGGATTCCTATTGTCTTGTATTCTTGATTTCTCTTGAATTTTGGTGCTGATCCGGTTGTAACAATGAGGGGAGATTGTCTGCGGAGGAAGGACTGCATTTCGGTGAAGGATCTTGGCATCAAAACCATCTTTAGCGTTTTAACCATTCTCGTATGGTATGACAGATTCGACAATTCAACCTGGTTTTGCTGTACAAAGCCAAAGGAGAACAAAATTCCAGCATCAGCTAATTGGTGCAGCAATTAGTCCTACCTAAGGTTTTGCTGTACAAAGCCAAAGGAGAACAAAATCCCAGTTTGGTGCAGCTGGTGCTGCTGCGGTGGCCGTAGCCGCCCGTCCTCAGGAATGTATGGACAGTTCAACATGTATCGTCTCAAAACTGATATTTGCACCTCAGATTGAGGGGTAGTTAGGGGGCTTATTCTGTGGAAGGGATGAGACTATGCTCCTCTGGTGTTTGCACTTTTCCCCACCATCTTCTAATTGATGCACTTTTGTATTTATTGGTTGTATCATTGAATTCTATAAAATCAAATAAATTGCTTCAAATTATTAGGCTACTCCAGCACAACTTAGCACTCACACCCAGATTTTGCTTTATTGGATAAAATGTTCCATATCATAAATGTAAATTTTATTGGTAATGGATAAAAATAATAGATAATATAAATTAATACATTCATAAACAAAATAAAATATATAATTATAATCTGTCCTTTATCTTATTTCTATTACACCAAAAATTGTGTTATACAAGAACCTTTTGGGTAGGAAATAAATAGAAGTTTTAGTTCAATACTTTTCTTTAAAATATGAACCAAAAACTTTAAAACCCTTCAAATTTGGGCTTTGAGACCATCTCAAACCATGTACTCCGAAATCCAATCCCATCCGGCAGCTTATCTTTCTCTTCCAAATCCCACATTTTATCTCTGTTATTCTATCTGGTTCGTGACTCAGGGAAAGACATAGCCACCAAGGTCAGTCTTTCTTTTTTAATTTTTCTTTTCATATTCAAAGATTTGGTATTGTTAATTACATAAAAATTATAAGCTTTTTTAATTTTAATAATGGAAACAGACCACTGTTTATGGCTTCAAGGACTTTCCTTTGCTTCAATCATGGAAAATTCTTCATACCCTTTGCTGCAACCAAGGTTATCCCATTTTCTAAAAGACCCATTAAAAATTTCAATTTTTCTTCCGTAAGCTGCAGCCTTAACACTCCTCAGCCAACTGTTGAACCGAAATCTCAAACGGATAGCACCCCGAATGTTGTTAAAATACTTAAAGAAAGAGGATTGCTTGAATCCATAACCAATGAAAATCTGAGGTTGGTTTGTTCAGACCAAACTGCTGGTCCTCTCAAAGTTTACTGTGGTTTTGACCCAACTGCTGAGAGCTTGCATTTGGGAAATCTTTTGGGTCTCATTGTACTTTCTTGGTTCCAAAGATGTGGTCACAAAGCTGTTGCCTTGATTGGTGGAGCTACTGGTAGAATTGGTGACCCTTCTGGTAAAAGCCAAGAAAGACCTGAACTTGATTTGAATGCACTGGAAAAAAACATTGTTGGGATCATGGAGATTATAAATAAGATTCTTAGTAAAAATGCAGATTTGGGTTCTGAAAAAAACTCAAACTTTGTTATTTTAAACAATTATGATTGGTGGAAAGAGGTTAGGCTGCTCGATTTCCTTAAACAAGTTGGTCGATATGCTAGGGTGGGGAGTATGATGAGTAAGGAGAGTGTTAAGAAGAGGTTGGAATCCGAACAAGGGATGAGCTATACCGAGTTTACTTATCAGTTGTTGCAAGGTTATGATTTTCTATACCTTTTTAAGAATGAAGGTGTGAATGTACAGATTGGTGGGAGTGATCAGTGGGGTAATATTACTGCTGGGACTGAGTTGATAAGGAAGATTTTACAAGCTGAAGGAGCTTATGGCTTGACATTTCCTCTTTTATTGAAGAGTGATGGTACCAAGTTTGGAAAATCAGAAGATGGTGCGATTTGGCTTTCGCCTTCTATGTTGTCTCCATATAAGTTTTACCAGTATTTCTTCTCTGTTCCGGATGCAGATGTGGTGAGGTTTCTCAGAATTCTTACATTCTTGGCTATGGAAGAGATAAATGAGCTGGAAAGTGCAATGACAAAACCTGGTTATGTTCCCAATACCGCCCAGCAGAGGCTTGCTGAAGAAATCACTCGTTTTGTTCATGGTGAAGATGGTTTAAGTGAGGCTCTTAAGGCAACTGAAGCATTGAGACCCGGATCAGAGACAAAATTGGATTGGAAAACCATTGAAGGGATTGCTGAGGATGTTCCATCTTGCTCCTTACCTTACTCCAAAGTGTTGAATCTTCCAATCGTTGATCTTTCTGTTTCGTCTGGTTTATTTGAGAGCAAATCAGCTGCTCGTCGTCTATTGAAGCAAGGTGGTGTCTACTTGAACAACAAAAGAGTGGGTAATGAAAGTAAAAGAATAGAGGCCGAAGACATTGTAGGTGGCAAAGTGCTTCTTCTATCTGCTGGCAAGAAGAACAAGGTGGTTGTTAGAATCTCTTGATTGCTTGTAGGAGTGCCTGCTTATTTATTAGAAACTGTTTCGGATTTAATGGTATATGAGCAAAAGAAAGTAATGTTTTCTTGTTAATTGTCATAGTTGCAAAAGTTCCTACTGTTATTATTATTAGTTGTTTATATTGTTTCTCTTCTTTGTCTTGTTTGCAAAGCCATATCCTTTGAATTATATGGATGAACAAGGCATAAATATCTTAACTGCGTTCATATTTTGATTTTCCGAAGAAAGATGGACCAATTTAAAGTTTTGGGGATAAATTTGAAATACTCAAAAATCTAGAGACCAATTTAATATAAGAGTCATAATTTGAAGATGTATAATACAATTAACTATTTACTTGTAAAGATATAAAAAGATTACATGGTCTTTATGTATTTATGAAAGAGGAGTTGGTTCAAGTGATAAGTAGTTTAATATTGTTTAAACAGGTTTTGAGTTCGAGTTCTTGTTTTTGTAGAAATTTTTTGTCGGGAGACACATTCACCACAAGCAGATATGTAACCCGGATCGATCCAGATTAATTAAGACGAAGTGTTTCGATATGAGAATGAATATCTTTATTCAAGTACAAGTGAACAACATATATTTTTGCAAGTTTATCCAAGTATGCTTGCTTTGGGTTTCTATAAAACACACTAGTACGTGCATACATATGCAGTTTATTCTAAAGATTAGAGACTTGATCCATAACTACTGGAGAATCGGCTGATTTAATCCTCAATCCAGTTGAATTTTATAGGTATCGACATAAGCTTTCCCCTGAAGCCTACGAGAGAACAAGCCTTTGTAGAATTCTTGAACTTTCACCCTCTTAAACTTAGCCGGCGTTTGTTCCGAGATCAAGCTCGGTGCAGGGCCTAATTCGCCGTCCAACCCCAGCCCAAAGAACATCGCGAACGAGAGTCGTTCCTTTACCGGGTGCACCGTCCCACAATGCTCAATGCTTCGATACTGTCCGTTCGATATGATCTCTAAAATGTCACCAACGGATAATGAAAGCATTGGGGAGGGGTTGAACTTGAACCCACTTCCCATCTTTCCTTATCTCGAGACCATCAACGTCGTTGAGCTGAAGCAAAATGGTGATGAGAGTGGCGTCCGAGTGAGGAGTGAGTTCCATGACCTGGTCAGACAGCTCACATGGTGGGTAACAGTTGATCCTAATCGTTTGCCTTCCCTCTCCGACGAACTCCGTCATTTCCTCGGGTTTCATGTGCAAGGCTTCTGCTATCTTTTCTAACATACCTGTTGATAGATTGTTTAACTCGGACGTGTAACACTCCATCAATTCACTACATCAAAAACATTAAAATAGCAAAATAGTTTTAGTGTTAAGACCAACTAGCCAAACTGTTTCACAAAACCATGTGTATATTAATGGGTATTTCACCTGGACCCAATAGGTTTTAATCTGATCCAATTTGATCAGGTTATTTTCTTTATTTTGAAAGTTCGAATTTGATTAAATTTTCTCATCCTAAACTAAAATTCGACTTGATCCAACCTATTCTTAAAAACAAATTAAACTGACATAACACTTAATTATCTCTTATATATTTAAAGATAATTACAATAATACATCTTTCTATTTTATTTTATTTTTCAATTACATCTTTATCTTACCTACTAAAAAGAAATTATATATATATATATATATATATATATATATATATATATATATATATATATTGAGTGTGGGTTTTGATCTAAAAAATCAGGTTGGTCTCATATCGGGTGAGATTACTAATGGTTGATTTCAGGAATAGATTGGAGTCGGATTAAGTGTCAAAAACTTGATCCAACCTAATAGGATCATGTCTAGTTGTGTTGTGTTTGAGTTATAATGTTGGGAGTGTACCTCAAAGGAGAAGGGAGGCTGGGGATCAAGCGAGGGTTTCGAAGACGGAGAGGATAAGTGACCATGAAGAAGAGGTCACCCCAATCAAGCTTCTGATCATCGGACACAACGAAAGCTTGTCCGAATCCCTCAGCGTTTCCAGGTGACTGCCACCATTTCTTCTTCTCCTCCATAGGAAGCTTGAAGAAGGCATCGATTTCCGCCTTGAGATTCTCCAACAAAGCCGAGTCCACTCCATGGTTAACCAGCTGCACACCAATTTATTCAACAAAATCAAAACTGACAAACACAAAAACATTAATGGAATCCATGCACAAGGCCAGAATCGAGGCAAGAAACCTGGAAGAATCCCCATTCTTTACAAGCGAAATCAAGCTTTTCTACTTCGGGATTGTTTGGTCCAACAGAAACCAGTTTCTGCATGTCGATGACTGGGATTTCCGGAATGTGATCACCATTGGGAACCACGGCTTTTTCGATGTCGGATCGAAGGTATTTACTGGGGATGGAGGTCGAGGATTCTTTAGCCAGCTCTAAAACACTTGGAAGTTGGAACAAGCAAAGAACTCACCTCAACCGATGCTTTCGATGCCATATCTTTATTTTCCTCTAAAACCAAAGCGATCAAACTGTTTTTTTTTTAATGCAGGTAATTCGCAAGTAGCAAAAGTTGTGATTTCAGTTCGTTTTGTTTGTGGGATATATATATATATATATATATATATATATATATATATATATATATATATATATATATATATATATATATATATATATATATATAGAGAGAGAGAGAGAGAGAGAGAGAGAGAGAGAGAGAGAGAAAATTTTCCACTTGCTTTTACGTAATCCTGCTGAATGTTCATTGGTCGATTGAATTGTAAAAAAGACTGGGAAACAACATTTTTTCCCCTTCAATTCAAACCGAATTGCATAAGAAAACTCCACCAGGGTTGCAGGTTGCAAGTAGCTTATGATGTTATTATAATTCATATTCTAAATTAATTTCTAAACTTTAAAATATTAATATCATATTCATCAAAGAATCATTTTTCGAACCAACAACCAAATAATCTAGTAGGATGAGGTACTAGATTCTTTAAGTAAGATAAGGGTTTGAACCTTAGCGTTTGCTAATGAAGTAAACTGGGTTGAGAAGTTAGTCCTTGTCTCCGGAATATCTGATCTAGATTAATTGATTAATAGATCAAATACCGGCGATTAATTAAAAAAACTATTTTTCGGGAGTTAAAATTCCAAATTTCTTGTAGAAAATTTGAAAGTCAGACGAACTAATTAAGAAAGTGTACAGAAATTGGAAGTCAAATCCCATTAGTGAAATATGTAGATAAGTTAAACAATCAAAGAAACTATTTATGGGGCAGTGCATAAGTATCTAGAATTCATTGACTAAAACAAACAATTATTATTATTATTATTATTATTATTATTATTATTAAAGTATAAAACAAAGAAACAATTACTAATAAATAAATAAAAGTGTCAGGTGACCAATCAAAGGACAAAATAAGAAAATAAACAACTTTAGGATTAAATTTGCATTTAGCCCTTCAATAAATAAATAACTTTTAGAGATAATTTGTTTATTAATTGTTGGATATATGAACTGCAAAACTATACCGTTAGCATTGACTGGAAATATAAACAGTAATTAAAATGAACAAATTCGTAAACCGTGTCGTGGCAAAAACCACTGCCTTATAAACGAATTCACTCCGATGTGTGTAATCGCTGCAGTAGGCGGACCGTCTCCCGAGGTTAACACGGTCGCTCCGAATTCCGTACACCCGAAACCGGAGTGGACTGCTAGTGGTATTGCTCTTCTGATTGGAAAGCACTCAGAGGGAACTCACAGAGAGAACTGTAAAAAACACTTTTGTAAGTGAATTGTGAATGTTTGAAAGTGAGTTGAGAAACTGAATATAGCCCTCTATTTATATGCTAGAAATATGGTTAAAATCATCCATGAAATTTCAGGATTAAATCTCTTATTTTGTAACAGCTGAAACGTTTAGATGAACCTGACTCAAAAATAGTCCAGGTTCATTGCATCATTATTCAGCTGTTATGACTCCCGAAATTATATCATGTAACTCATGGAATTAAATCAAATAACTCATGATATTAACAGCTTGTCTCCTTTGTACAAAGCTGGAAATCAGTCCAGATACATCTTAACGTTTTTGATTTAATTTAGGAAAAGCTGTTTAATTTCTGATAACTCTCATAAACCAGCTGTTATCATTTGAAATTAAACAGTCCTCAGCAGCCTATAAATATCAGTTGAAATCTTTCACATTTTTCTATTTGTATTTGCGCGGACGTGTCAAAGACACGTATTACCACGACCACGACCATGAGCCGAGCCGAGACGAACAGCGGCGGCGGTGCGCGAGAGTCCTCCTTATTCTATAGCACTTAACAAGGAAGTAAGAAAGTCAAACCTTAAATATCATTCACAATAGTATTTCTAATACTGCATTACCAACATCAATGTTTGAACGATGAATATGTATAGACCATTGTATTTAAAAATAAGTGATTAACTATATTCAGTTCTATCTGAAAATTTACGAGACCAAGTTTCTTGACTTTGATTTCTTGTATATGTATATAAATGAAATATATATAAGACGATAGGGTGCATAACATATTTAGGGATGGTTATTTATTTGAATCAGGTGGATTTTGATTCAAATCAATTTTATAAGATTAGATTTCTTTTAATTTTGGTTCGGACCGAGTCGGATGAGTTTTGTTTTTTGTGTGTGAAAAAAAATGAAGTTGGGTCGAATTCGGATTTAAAGTAGAAAATCCTCGACTTGAGATGATAATATACTTATCCCTTATATATTTATGGATAATTGTAATAATAACATAGATCTATTTTTTCAAATAGATCTATGTTTTATTGAATAAAATAATTTTTTTTACATATATTTATGTCGGTAAATGTGAGTTTTGACCTTAAAGATCAAGTCAAATTTTGAATAGATTAAAACCTACCTAAATTCGGATTAGATTAAATGACAAATAAAGAGATATAATATTCACATCGAAATGTTAAATGTCTCGGGTTCGAACATTAAGAATGTTAGAGGTGTGAGCGTTAAATGTCAAATGGTTGAAAATTATTTTTAAACATATATTATCTTGTACTTATTCAGATTAATAAAAAGAATAATATCGAGTTAAGATCCATAAAACTCGACCCGACCACAATTATCCTAAACACAACCGCATCTTTAATTATTTATATTGGTTAAGACTTTTTCATATTTCCATTTTTTTTATTTTCTTTTTTGAAAATTTCAAACATGCATGGAAATTGAAGATCATATAAAACCAAGTCAACTGCTCAAGAAATCTTTACATATACCATTACTATCAATGATGTCATTAAGTAAAGAAAATTAATTCATTTTTAAAAATAGACTAATTTTATCGCTTCATCTGTTATAAGTATTTAAGATTGATAATCGAATAAATTAAATTACCCAATAGTTTTATTTTGTTTTAAAATATGGTTTATAAAATAATATATTACATAATATGCAACAACTAGTTCACGATACAAATATATAGTGCAAGCTTGAATTTAATTCGATAGTTAAGCGACAGCTTATTTTTATAGTTAAGATTTATTTGAATTAAAATATATACAAATTTATTAAAAATGTTTGAAATTTGAGGATTGCTTGTTATTTAATAAAGATGCTTTATATATTTAGTTTTTATATAGAACATTTTTTTTCTTTGTAAATATTCGGTATGGAGTTTTATTTATAGATTATTTAAAAAAATTATTTAAACATGAATCCAATGATCTCGATGGTAAATGAATTGTTATTATTCCTTAAAGTCTCGGGCTCGAACATCAGTAATGTCAGGGGTACGAGCCATCAATGTTAAATGGTTCGAGAGTTATTTTTAAATAAATTATCTTGTACTTACCCCATATAAATCAAAAAAATATATTTAATATATTTTATAATTATTAATATTTAATTTATTGATAACCTAATCAAAATAAAATATTATATATAACTATTAGGGAAATAATTGCTGTTTTTATTAAATAATATTTTAACTATGAATCATTGACCATTAATTCAGGCCATCAGTATGATTCCTTGAACTAAGAAATATTTTATACCTAATTTGCTTCGACAATCTTCTTGACAGTCAAATTATTATTTTTATAATTCATAATCTTGTTGAACAAGCAAAACCTCTTATAAAATAGAGTAAAGTACACAAATGATCTCTCGACTATAGAATATTGTTTTGTTAAGTTCTTACATTATTAAGAGTTACAAAATAGTCATTCAACTATAGCATATTATTTTGTTGGGTCACTCGACTATTAAAGGTTACAGAATGATCACCCAACTACTCGTATTTAAACTCATCATTTTCCGTTAAAAAATTGATGATCGTTTGAGAATTAAGATAAATGTTAACATGTTGACTAAAATATGATAAAATTAAATTTTAATTATGTTTACTGGTACTACCATTTCTTTTAGGCACTGGCTTGATGGCATAATGTTTCAAGCACTGACTTGACGACATAATGTAAATGGAGAGTCGATCCACAAAATACAACTTAAACAATTTTGAGATCAGATTTTATTATATACAATCAACATGTTAACGTCCAACTCATGTAACCGCTTTTTAACAAAAAAAAGGACGAGTTTGGGACATATTAATAATTGAGTATCATTTTATAACTTTTAATAGTTAAGAGACTCAACAAAATAACCCTATAATCGAGTGATCATTTTATAACTTTTAATAATAAGGGGACTCAGCAAATCATCACCCTATAGTTGGGGGACTCAACAAAGATGCAAGTAGCTCATTTGTTATAAGTCAATAATGTTAATAATCAAATCATTAATTTTAAAACATCAATGAGAAAAAAAATTTACTCAAACATTAATGACCATCTATGTAATTTACCTTTATATTATTTAAATAATTAAACCGTCTAATTAAAAGTTTAAAAAAATTGATGGTCGAACTAAAATTTTCACAATTAAGTGATCATCCATATAATTTACATTTTGATCACTCGAGCATTAAACCCCCTTAACGGTATTAATAACAAGCTATCTAATCGATATATAGAGAGAGAGAATCCATTTACGCAATGTAATTTTTTTTTAAGTTTTTCACAGATTTAGGATCATTAGACGAGAGAAAATATATATATGTTATTAACTCTTTTTTTGTCCGTGAATATTTTTTCATTACCTATTTTTTATTTCAATCATCTATTTTCACTCATCTAACGGTTCTAAATTTATATAGAACTAAGAAAATTTCTTTTAACATATGCTCTTAAAGTTGACAACTCATGATCAATAAAATATTATTGAAGAATCCCTTTTAGAAGTGGGGGGTTTTCACCTAATTCAATTGATATTATCATGCATTATCTTTCCATATCATCCATCTATGCATAAATATTTCACATATGTATAAGGGGTGAGCAACACCAGGTATCCGCTTATTTTTTTGGAAACCAAAACATGAACTTGTTGCACCGATTCCTAAAAAATGAGAATCGAAACTTATTCAATCGATTCCTAAAAATTGGGACCTAGAACCAAAAACTATAGGTACCGATATCGGTTCCAGGTACCCTATTATTTTGATAGTTTTCTCAGTCAACCTATTAATTGATACACATTAAATGAGATGGTATGCCACATCCACGTTAAAATTGACCCTTTTATTACCTGTTAATTTATTAAACTAAAATGCTACTACTTATCACTAGTAGAACTCTTTTTTATATAAAATTTATCCAAAATTTTGGGAATCGGAACCAATGTCAACAGGGTCCTTATTTTGCTACCCAGAACCGAAACCGAAATCGAAACCTGGGATCGATTCCGATTCCAAAACAAGGTTTCCCGTTCTTTTGCTCACCCCTAATATGTACTAATATTTCACATATATACTATTATTAATTTCAACCATTTACTTTCATTCATCAAACGATCCTAAATTTCTGTAAAATTAATAGTTAAATCTCTTTATCAGATGCTCTTAAAGTTGACCACTCATGATAAGTAAGATATTATTGAAGAATCTCTTTTAGATGGGGGGTTTTCACCTAATTCAACTGGCATTATCATGCATTATCTTTCCATATCATCCATTATCTTTCCATATCATCCATCCACACATAAATATTTCACATATGTACCAATACTGATGTAAAACTTTAACATATATAATTATCACTCCTGCTTCTGCTTTGGTACATTGCTTCTCCAAATTCCGGCCAACATACTACCTAAAACCGAGTGGCTTACACTGGATACTGCACATGGTACTGCCGTCAGTGGATTATGAAAGTGCTGAGCAGCAAGAACAAGTCCGAGAAGCGTGTTCTGAAACATCAATCAGTTGAACAAAGGAGAAGCTTAATGAAAATATCAATTTTCTTCGAGATCGGACTGCTCGAAACAGTTTGCATACCTGCATGCCAACCTCGATCGAGATGGTTCGTGATGATGTTTCATCAACATGAAGTGCTCTTGAAAGGATGTAGCCAAAGAAAAATCCAAATGCATGAAGAAGGGCTGAAGCTAGTACAACTTGTAGACCAGATGCAAGAATTGTGGATGCACTCTGGGAAACAGCATTTCCGACCAGAATACCGACGGTTCCGACTGCAATGGTTGGCATCAAAGGAGAAACAAGTTTAACCAGGTCACTGAAATACTGATTTAGGAATGCACCAGCCAATACAGGAAGAAGCACAACCTGTGGAAATAGCATGGCTAAGTACTAACCACTACTAGAACTCAACTATATTTGGAAAAATAAGTTACGCAACAAAAGGATTCACCTGCAGTGTTGAGTTTCGCAGTCCAACTGCATCCACTGCAATATACTGCCCCGCCAGCTTGGCTGTGAGAAAGGGGGTCATAATCTGCAAAATAAATATATCCAACAGATGGTACTATGAATTCTCCCCTCCAGAAATGCAAGTTCAACTCTACTCAAATGGATTTCAGTGTTTGCTTATCATATAATATCCGAGAAGGTTCTTAGAAGAATGGTTTCCCGAGTTCTTAAACAGGCCAATGCAAAATAGACCTCAATCTAAGAGTATCTGAAATTGCATTCGCATTATGAATTTTTTTAAAATCTGACCCAAATGCTCCTTTTTTTTCGGCATCAAATATTTACTCGTAATTCAGCACTCCCCCATGTAGGATGGTCATCAATCACAAGATTTCCCTCACAAATGGATACTACAGTTAAGATCGTCAATATGAGGAGGCATATTGAAAAATATTTTTAAAACACCAGTTAATAAGAAAGACAGGATGAAGCAACAGTTCTGGTATACAAACCACAGCTGATAGAGTGCTTGCAGCAGTCATCAGCACAGAGAGTGCAACATTTCCTCTGGAAAATAGCAAGATCATCAGATCTTCAGGAAAAGGAATCAAGTATTAAAGAAAAAAGCATGATACAGATAGAAAAATCCGCATACCTGGCAAGATACGTGACAATGTTACTTGCTGTACCTGAAATGAAAAATTGAAGCACTATCAAGAGATAGACAAGGATTGAGAAGTAAAGTTTTAAACATACCGGCAAAAAGTGACTATAAGCTTACCACCAGGACAGCAACCCACCAATATTAAACCCGCTGCATAGTGAGATGGCAGATTTAGGAGCTTGCTCACAAAAAACCCAGATAAGGGCATCACCTGCAACAACTCACCCATTGTTTTCCAGTTAACAAGTACTTATCAAAATGATGAGTGCATATAAACATGCATATACATCGTAAAATCTTTCTCGCACGGGTTTAGCTCCTCTCCAATACTTTTCCATCTATTAATATCCAATACCTATTTAGTCACCATTCACAACTTGATTTTCAAATTTAATGTACATTTGATGTATGGGTCCTTCACATCGATGCAATGTTGCATGATATGATGCCATTGAGTTGAAAATTTCATGAGAGGAGCTGGACACAATGCTCCAATCAACAATATATGGTCAAAATCCAAATAGTCAAAATAATTAGTATCAAATAGTTCAGTTCAAAGGATTAAGATGATATCGTGAGTGAGTCGAAGAGAAGTTACTCAAGAAATCAAAACTCCAAGCATCAAAGAGTTCAAGTTGTACTTCTAAGAACAGAAAAAAAGGTACAAGATAACAGGCAAGAGTAGTGTGCTAAGGCAGCAGCAAACCAAGACAAGGAATTCATTAAAATAAGAACACATGCCACTGCCTTTGTCTGTCAGCAAATTAACTCAAACTGTAAAACAGAAGAAAGTTAAAGAACTTGCTTGATACTTATTGCTATATACTAAGCCTTGTACAGACCCAAAGTTATTACCAGATCTGGATTTAAATGCTTGATTCAGATTTGGTAAGTTTACATTGTTACAAGTATATATAACTCAACTAAGAAAAATTATAAACCCACAAACTGTTACTCTAAATATCATCTCAGTTCAATATAAAAAATCATGAAAAGGAAAAAGAAAACAAACCGTATATTGGAGAACAAAACCAAGGATCAACTCTCTGGGCATAGCAAAAGCCCCTCGAAGATCATCAAGGGTAAGAGTCATACCCATACCAAGCATAGTAAGAGTAAGACCATAAATGCTCCACTTGGGCGTCATCCAATTGAAAGAACTTGGTTTGAACAACCCAATCAGACAGCCCAAAGAAACCCATAGCGGGAATGCAGTGGAAATCACTTCACCAGCCCACTCAACCCATTCTCTGAAACTTTTCTTGTTGTTAGCACCGTAACTATCTGATGAAATGCCGCAATGAACTCTAAAACGATCAGAAGTCAACAAACTGATGGTTCTACTACTGGGCTGCTTCTGGGATTGGGATCTTAGTGTTAAGCTAAAAGATGGTGAGGTGGAAGGCTTGGGATATGAAGCGAAGAGATTTGGGTACGGTAAAGAAAGGATATTGGTTTTGTGTTGTGATCTGATGCTTGTTGTTGCACAAGGGCTTGGAAGTGACTGCATTTCTGATTTCTCACTGTCGTTTTTCCTTTTGCTTTCTTTTCAAATGATCTTTCGTGATTCTTGTTGATGGTGCTTGGTGAGTGGACAGTGAATGATGAGAGTTGGAAATGGACAGGAGCAATGGTTACAATATAAAAATAGGGTAAAGTATATAAATGGTCACTAAACTTTTTAGATACTTGCATTTAAGTCTCCTAACTTTTAAAACTTGCAATACAGTTACCAAATATTTAGTTCGTTTGCAATATGATCCTGACGTAACGGCCATTTCACTGCCATTAGGGTAAATTATATAAATGGTCACTAAACTTTTCAGGTGCTTACATTTAGGTCCCTCTAACTTTTAAAACTTGCAACATAATCACCAATTACATTCTAAACCTCAAATTCAAAAAATAATTCAATTACATGCCCAAACCCAAATTCAAAATCCATTCTCAAAATCTATCAAAACAAACTGAACTTGAAGCATCAACCCTAAACTCTCAAAACATAACCCTAAATGCTAAATTTACCCACCAATTAACCCAACATAATCAACAACATTTTAGTTCATTTTGGGTCCATAACAATAAGTGATTATTTTGGGTTTAAGATTTAAAAGTTAGATTTAACCAACTATAAGTGAACAATACTCAATTCGATTCGAAAAAATTATTTTTTGACTTGAATTGATTCAAAAAATTTGATACAAATGGACTTTGAGCTGTAATTTCATAAACTCAACTAAAAAAATTTCAAGTTAAAATCGAGTTGTAAAATACAACTCGAATATCTCAAAATTTTTAGTAATTAGTGGATTAATTTTTAAGTTTGAGTCAAGTCCCTTGACTCTGTATGATATATGTATATCACATATGGAAAAATTATGAAGAAATATATGTATTGCATATGGTTAAAAAAACTATTTAAATTAGATTCAAATAATATTATAGTATTATAAATATTTATAATTAAAATTAAACATAAACTCAAAAATTAATTCAATTCGACTTGATTTAAATTTTATAAACTCAAATCGAAAAAATTTCAAGTCAACTATTTTATAAATTGAACTGAATTATAATCAAATAATATTATAATATGATAAATATTTATAATTAAATTTAAACAGAAACTTGAAAATTCAATTCAATTCGACTTGATTTAAATTTTATAAAACTAAAATCGAAAAAATTTTGAGTCGTCTATTTTATAAATTGAATTGAGCATTTAGGTCCAACATAACCCTAAACCCAACATAATCACTTATTGTTCACTTATAGCTAGTTAAACTTTTTTGAAACAATTATGTTTTGAGGGTTTAGGGTTGTTGCTTCAAGTTCAGTTTGTTATGATAAATTTTGAGAATAGAATATGAATTTAGGGTTGGCCATGTAATTGAAATATTTTGGAATTTGAGGGTTAGAATGTAATTGAAGCATTTTGAAATTGGGGTTTAGAATGTAATTGATGACTATGTTGCAAGTTTTAAAAGTTGGGGGACTTAAATGCAAGTGCCTAAAAAGTTCAGTGACCATTTATATAATTTAGTATAACAACATTGAAACGGCCGTTACATCAGGGACCTTATTGCAAACGAACTAAATGTTTGGTGATTGTATTGTAAGTTTTTAAAGTTGGGGGACCTAAATGCAAGCATCTGAAAAGTTCAATAACCATTTATATACTTTACCCTAAAAAATATTATAACATACATTAAACAATAAATACCTTAAAAAAACACTAACAATAGTGGATTAATTTCCCCAGATCTAAGCCCGTCATTAGCCATATAACCATACTGTATACAAGGTTAACTAATACACTGCACTGCACTGCACTGCACTAACATCAGCTAGAAACATTAGAAATTATTGTCAAAGGCTTCTGCTTTGGCGCACCATGTCTCCAAATTCCGGCCAATACACTTCCGAAACTTAAGTGGCAAATGCTGAACACAGCACATGGTACTGCATTCGATGGATTTTGAAAATGCTGAGTTGCAAGAACACCTACTAGAACCGAGTTCTGAAACCTCGATGAGTTGAATAAATGATTAAGCTTCACAAATAAACAATGTAATAGCAATCTTTAATGGAAGAGACCCATTAGAAAACAGAAGAAAAAGCAAGCTAGAAAGTGTGGCTAAATTTTATCAATATGTTGCTAAATCAAGTCAGACACAGGCAAGGAGTGGCTCTTCAGGAAATAAACAGCAGAAGTCCAACTGAGCAACCCATATTTGATAAGAAGTGGAAGAGGAAGAAGACAGAACAGCAGCAGCATATGTGCTAGTATCACAGGAATATATGATGATTCATATTCTTCACATACTGAATGATGAAACTTAAATCATAAAAATATCTATGAAAAGAAAAGTATAAAACTGGAATACATTATCATAAATCAACTCAGAAAATATTTGCACAAGATAATATCAAGTAGACAGATCATATAATGGTACAATTCCAAAACACCCATCATATTGTATAGGTCATGTAAAAGCCTAGAGAACTAATAAGTTGCCCAGAAATACCAGATGAATCATCTTAGATGATTTGAGAAATCAAACTAGCGATGTCCTTGAGCTCTCTGCATGTCACATGCACCCCAGAAACCAGAAGCAGGTCCATACTGAGGATAAACATCAACACTACTCTGAATCTGAAATGGAAGGAGAAAAACTAAATAAACAATCATTGTTTAAGAAAATATTCAATATATGCACAATTTGCAAATGTAGCTCACATGCAATGCACATACATACTTAAGCATGAATGGATGCATGATTTTATTTTGGGTGAACCTATAAAATTTTAGAGGGAAGCGAACCTATAAAATTTTAGAGGGAACGAAAAACAATTATCGATAGAAAATACACAAAAAATATCTAAAATATAAAATAATTTAAAATTTTTAGGACTGCCCACCCGCCCCAGACCATCCCTGTACTTAAACACTCACAAGACAGAAACTGCTGAAAATGCACATAATACAGCATAACTTACAGGATTCATGCCATAGCTGACAGGATAACTGTGGCAGAATATCCCGCTTCAGGGTTTCCATAACTTGCATTATAACCACCTACTGCTGAATTTTTTGGACAAAAGAAAATATGATTCATAAACAGGGGACAACCACTGTTAGTATGCTACATGGCCAAAAATCAGTAATTAGGGATGGATGCAAAATTTAATATTAGAAATGTGACCTTATAAAATTTTAAGTGATAAAATTTATAAAAATTTTGAAGATAAAAATATATTATTTTAATAAAAATATCTAAAATATATAAAAATTTAAAATTGATAAGAGAGCGACCGCCCCCACCCTCTCCTTCCATCGCTGTCTGTAACACATGTACATTAAAAAAATAATTGTTGCATACACCAGTTCCAACAACAACTGTATTATCCACGTCAGCTTTTTTCTAAATGCTTTCCACATCAGAATTTTTTTAACAATTGTTTTAGCCACATGTAACATAACTGTCGAATCACCCTGTGCTAACAACCACGTAAGTATGACACATAGGTTTAACGGTCCAACTATTAAGCCAAAAGATTTGATCGAGTGTAGAAAAATCGAAGATATTTAATTAATTGTTTAAGGGTTTTTTAAAATATATTTTTCTTAAAATTTATGAATTTCACATTTAATTAACAAGAATGGTGTTATCATACATCTCAATTAATATAATATAAGTAAATTAAATTGGTTTAACGTTTCAACTACGATACTCAACTGATCAAAATCAGATAACTTCGTTTAAGTACGTAACTTACTTGATCAAATAAAGAAAACGTTACTAAAAATATTTTAGCTACTAATTAAAAAATAAAAACATTCTATTCTATGATTAAAGAAAGAAAAGTCAGATGGGTGATTAAATCGACGATACTATTAATTATCACATTAATAATTCAGTCGATTGAATTATTGGTTTAATATTATTAATTTTTTTTAAAATCATAAAAAAATACCCAATTCAATCGAACTTTTAATTGATTGTTATATTTTAGTTCTTGATTTTTCAGTGATTCGCAATAATTTACTTTATCTATAATTTTATTTGAAAAATTAAATTGATTAAACCATCGATTTTTAATTTAATTGCTCAAATCTAATACAATTTTGACAGGGGTCTAATTTCATATCTAAGCTTATTACACTCAGCACGAACCAATTAACTTCAATGATTAATGAATTCGTTATTCTTCCTATAGGTCACGGATTTGAACACCAACAAGAATATGAACATTCATTGTTAACTGATTGAGAGTATTTGAATAAATATTGACTTGTATTTACCTCATATGTATAAAAAAAAAAGCTTATTACACTATAATGTAAAAGTTATTATCTAAAGTTTTTATGTATAAATAATTTATTTATAATAAATTAATCCAAATTATTCAAAACAATTTGAAAAACTTCTTCAAAACAGTCAAGAAATTAAGAATTACAATTAAAATAAATATTAGTTTCAAGTAGCAAGTTTACCAAAATCCAATTAAAGAAATAAATCTTCCTAAACATGAAAAAAAAATCTAAATTTATTTGGGAAAAGGGAAATTCTTTGTCCATATTTTTTTTTGATGAAATAAAGAGGGGAGCTAACACTCAATGTTATTCTATCAAATTACAAGCACATGAGTCCTGTTGTAACAAGCTAAGTACTTCCAAAGGTGGAGAGTAGAAAACCGTATGATCCGAGCCTCCTGCTATGGCTAAATTGGCTAGTTTTATCGGCCACCTTGTTCACATCCCGATTTATATGCCTCAAAGTAACCGTCCATTCCTGCTTTAATAACTCATTAACCCGGTCGAGCAAAGTAAAAATTGATCCTTTATTAGTCTTTCCTTTAAGCATCCGAATGACCTCCAAGTTGTCCGCTTCAACCATAATTTGTCTTTCGCCAAGATTCCACGCATGCGAGAGACCTTCATGTATTCCCCATAACTCCGCTTCAACGATAGAGCATATACCTAGTACTTTAGAGAAACCAAGAATCCATCCACCGTTCGAAGATCGAATAACGCCCCCACACGTAGCAAATACATTTCCTAGTTTACGGGAGCCATCAGTATT